AAATACAAATTTAAAAAATAAATCATAAAAAATAGACAAATTTTATTTAGAATGAACCTAAATTTCAAAATACAAAAGGAAGCATAAAAGAGTTTAATAAAAAAAGAGATATTAATAAATATTTATCAAATTCAATTAACATTGAGAAGCTAAAATTTTGAGAGTTAATTTTTTAAACACTACTCGTGTGCTTTTTACAAAACTTGGCAGTTTGGCATAATTTGAGTCATAGAATGAAATAAGGAAAAAAATTGCAGAAAAATTCATTTTGTGTCAAATTGGAAATTAGAACAATGCTATATATAAATTTAATACATATCCTTAGGATATATATTAAATTTATATGTTGTGCTTTCAAGACATGAAAAACGCAAGTTGAATTTCGTCAATCGGCCCAGCAGAACAGGAGATATAGAACTGTCCCCCCCCCTTTTTTTTTTTTTTTTTTTTTTTTGCAGTGTACATGAATGATATCTTGAAGCTTTTTTATTTCTGTACTAGGAGAAGACATATACATGGATGATATCTTGGAGCTGTATTAGAACTCCAAAATCAGTTAAAAGGCATTTTGAAGTGTAGAGATATGGTATGCCATAAGTAGTGTAGTAATACAATTGCATTGTGTAAAAAAAATGACAAAATATACCCTTTTGATGAATCAGAAGAATCGAAAGCATTAGGCATTTTATGGAAGTTGAAAATAGATTGTTTGAGCTTCAACGTTAAAATCGATAATAATGTGAATGCCACTAAACAGCAATACTATCTGTTATATCTCATATTATTTTATCTCCTGGGTTTAGTAACTCCAGCTATAATTATAACAAAGATATTCCTGTAAAAATTATGGTTATTAAAATTGAACTGGAATGATGTTCTGCCAGAAAAGGTAACAAAAGTATGGAAGGAATTTTCCACTACCTTGCAGTTAATTAAAAACATTGAAGTCTATAGATGTATTTTGCTACCAGATACACTCAAGACAGAGTTACATGGCTTCTCTGATACCTCACAGGCAGCTTATGGTGCAGTTATCGACTGTAAAAGTTACATCAACATCAAACAGCACATCAGTGAGGTTGGTGTGCAGTAAATTTTGTATCTCCTCCTGAAGAAGATTACAATTCCAACTTAAGCTCTGCAGAGCAGCTCTCTTGGCTAAATTAATGCATTGAGTGAGATCATCATTGAAATTGGAGCTTTCTGCTATTCATCTTTGGAATGATTCTATGATTGTATTATCATGGATTAAAAAAGAGCTCATCTGCTCAAAACGTTTGTTGCAAACCGGATCTTACTGAAATTGAGTGGCATTACATTGCTTCTAAAGGAAACCCATCTGATCTCATATCTAGAGATATAAATATTAAAAAATTGTCAACTGTGGTGGAACATGCCTGACTTTTGATAACGGATGAGTACCCTAATAGAAATGTATCTGAAGCAGTAATTGAAAGAAACACGAAAGAACTTCAAAACTGTGCTAACTCTGAACTATTAACACATTTAAATCTAAATGTGAATAACTTTGTTAATGAGTTATTTAATCATAAAGCATTTAAAATTAATTTGTATTATACGTTTTTGTTTCAGATTTTATAAGAATTGTAAGCAAGTATGAAACAAGGTAGGTAACAAGTGCACCTGAAAGCAGCAGCTGAAAAAAACTTTATACGGATTAGTGCAAGGTGAGTATTTTATAAATGAGATAAATGGTCCTAATAAAATCAGGTATGGTTCCAAAGCATAGTTCTATTAAGAATCTGAACTCCTTTACCGACAATGTGTTGCTTAGAGTAGGAGATAGATTTAGAAATAGCGATTTAACTTATGAGGGGGGAAATCCATTATTCTGCCATCTAAACATAAATTAACAGAGTTAATAGTTAATTACTATTACTGTAGGTTCTCAATCTTTATTATATCACATAAGACAACTACTAAGGAAAGAATTACAGGTAATTATACATTTAATTGTATCAGAGTTGACTTCTGTGATCCATTCTTAATAAAATATAGAAAACAGAGAAAATTACATATCAAAAGGTTAATATACGTATATTCATTTACACGGTTACTAAAGCCATTCATTTGGAAATGGTAACAGATCTAACGTGTGAAGCATTAATTGATACGTTGAAAAGCTTTTTTGCCAGAAGTAATTGCTCGAAACTATTTAGCAATAATGTTACTAATTTTGACAGTGCAATTAAAGAATTAAAAAAGTTAAATTAGAAAATGAACAAGATGAGCTTTCGGCTGGCTATTTGAGTTCTGACAATATCAAATGGAAACTTCTCCCTCCCACAGTGCCCAGTTTGGAAGCATTTGGGAGGCTGGAGTGAAGTCGTTTAAGTATTATTTGAAACATATTGTAGGCAATGCAATATTAACATTCGAACAATTTTTAACAGTTATGACTCAAGGAATTTTAAATTTCTGACCACTGACAGCCTTGTCTTTGGACAAAGATGATTTAGAAGTTCTAACATCAGGGAATTGTTTGATTGGCATATCAATTAACTCAATTCCTGAACCAGATATCATGAATGTTAATGATAATAGGTTAAAATTACAGCACCAGATCCCAAGGTTGATACACATTATCTGGAAAAAGTGGAATTCCAGTTATTTAACTCGTTTACAAAATCCATCTATATGGCAAATCTCATAGAAAAATATAAATGTTGGAGACATGGTCTTAACTAAGGATAATTTGCCTTGTTGTAACTGGCCAATTGGTAGAATAATAGAAGTATTTTATGGTAAAGATAAAAAAGTTCGTGCATAATATAAAAACTCAGACTGGTACATTCAAACCACCAACTACAAAATTATGCATTATTACCACTACAAAAATGAATAGTACTTTTATCATTATTTTAGTACTGCTTATCTCCACATAAGGTACTGTTATGTAATTGTATTTTATGCTGTATTATTTTGGTTTATATGCTGATTTATACCAGGTAACCTAGAAATATTATGCGTTGTTTGTCATTCATCAAAAATGACCCACAAAAATCTTAAACACCCATTTTATTCTTTGACGTAATCACCACTGAATTTAATTACATATTCCCAACGAGGCATAAGCTTATATATGCCCTTTTTGAAAAAATTCTTTTTCTGGGGCAAAAAATACTCACACAGCCTTTGTGACATCATTGTGTTTTCGGAAATGGTGTTCCTGCAGGTGGTTATCCATGGCCAAACATAGCTAATAGTCCAATGGGGAATGTGCAAAGAATAGGGTGCCTGAGGCAGAACTTCTCAGTCCAGTGTTTTGATCATCTTCTTTTAGTCACATTTGCCATATGAGGTCTGGCTTTATCATGAAGAAGGAGAACTCCTCTTCTGTTGACCAGTGATGGCTGCTGCTGGTACAGTGCAATTGAAACTTTTTGCAAGTGTCATGAGTAGACTGTGCCAGCACTTGTCTACCAAGCACACAGCACTACTTTCTTTTGGTAAATGTCCGGTTTATTGCCCAATGAGACTGAACCAGAAGCTGGTTGTTTGCTCTTCCAGTTATCATACATGCTCCAAGGCTTTATTATGGTGCACCGACAAACAGATGTTCAGTCGTTAGAGGTTGTTTTGCTCAGATAGGATCTGAGGAACCCACTTACTTAGCTTCCATGTCGCCCCAAGGTAATGAAAACATGATCAAATTGTTTCGTCATGTATTCCAAAGCTATGTGCAAGCTCCTGGCAGGTTTGATGAGGATTCTGATTGATTTTCTCTTCCAGCTGGACTTTGTGGAGGGTGGATGGACAACCAACACAAGCCTTGTCTCCAAGGTTCTCGTCTTCACAAGAAAATCGGCTGAACCACTTTTGAGTAGTCCATTCACTCACTGATGTCCCTTTAAATGCGATGCACACTTTCTAGTGGTCTCTGCAGCTTCATTTCCTAATGTGTACTTGTAAAGCAAAATAAGCCACAAATTCTCCTTTTGCAATGGCATGTCCTTTCAAAGATTGTGCTTCCTACAAAACTAATAGCAAAATGTAGGATGCACTCGGCAACTGTCTACTGAATAAGGTTTGAAAGAAATATAAATACATGACATCATCAGAATGAATTTGACCACACTAATGTGCCAAAAGAAACTGCTCTCAAAAACCGTATGAACTTTCCTGTTAGCTGGTATATTAAATGTCAGATTATGATTTGAAGATTTTATGTTAATTTGTTTATGTATCTCTCAATTATTATTGCTAAATTACAATTATCTGAAAATGCACTGCAACGCTGGGCAGTATGTTCGCACCTGCGCCTGTGCAACTGTAGCCATGTGGTTGGTAATATTAGTGAGCATGGCCATTGGTGGCAAATGAGAAAGTCTACGTATCTGGCTTGATGAATGCCATGAGTTATAAATTTTATAATTGCGAGTTTTGAGATACTGTTTCATTAATAAAAGAAAGTTACAGTCTGCTTAGGTGTTACAAATTACTTTGAGAATAAATGCCTCTCTAAAAACTTTCAGGAAGCAGTCTGGATAAAATTTTAACTCATCATAATCATTTTATCAATAATAACAGTCAGCAGTCACCTATCACTTTCACAGCATATAACTGACTTTAATCTATTCCATAATGAACAAGTATTAAAGCATTCCAAAAAACTAAAAACTAAATCTGTTTTAAGTTTTATCATTTTCTGCAGAAGTAATTTTTCAACTTTATTCTCTTAGTATTGAATAAATATATTTTTACAAAAATGGTCATTAATTTTACAGTTGTTAACATTTTAAAAAAATGAATAAAATTATAATAAAAAATATTTCATACTTTGAACATACGAGATAGTAAAAATATGTGAAAAAAGTCTAAATGGAAAAAAGGAATTTATTGGAAACATTCTAAAACATAACAGCTGCTGGTAACAAAATAACACAAGTGATTAAAAATTAAATCTCTGCAAAGTTAATACATGATAATGATCATGAATACACTTTAAATTATACAGATTTCTATGTTGCTATACTTACAATCTTCACCTTTCCTCTTCACTTCCACTTGACCAACTACACGGTAACGCCCATAAGGCTCAGGGAGAGATACACCCAATCTGAAGAGAACAATACAATCTGTAACACATGGAAAACAGTAATAAACATTCATCAACAAAAAATTGTAACTAAAAGTTATTTTCCAGTATTTTATTCACAATTAACAAATTTTTTCATTGTTCTGAACATTTGAAATTTCTCTAATGATTTGAATGCTTCATTACAAAATATAATTTTCTACGGGTATTGCATACTAGAATCTTCTTGATTAAAAACACTTTAACAGGATTTCAACGAAATTGTATATTTTAAATGGTACTGGCAATGCTACATTACAGTAAAATACCTTTATGTATCAAAAAGCATAAATATACACTGTGCACTTTTTAGACAATTTAAAAATTAGTTTCATTAATTTTTATAATGCAATACAGTCAAAAGTCATTAATTCGGACACCCATAATCCGGAATGATCTATAATCTGAACCTCAAAGCTACAAATTTTCTGGGCATGCGCATAAGACTGTAGGAAAATATGACCTATTGTAACCCTTTTTCTGCATCATTTCTCCTCCTTGAAATCTTTCTAACTTTTACATAAGGCTTAGTTCTTATTTTAAAGGGATATAGTAGTTATTTCTACTTTGTTTTCCACTGCCACTGTTTGTATTAAGAACGGACTGTTCCAGCCTAATTAAGATGCAAAAACGAAACTTGATGTTACATCATCTGGAAAGCTGAGTTGTGCCGATAGCTGATTGATTGCCGTGAGATGACGTCATGTCTACTTCAGGTATAAGTATCTCGCGTAGCTCTCGCAATAGCTAGACTTAGTCACCGTGGTGGTGGGGTAGCGATATACATAAAGAACTCTCTCCAATTATGCATGATTAAGCAGTACAGAAATAATGGGCAAGAATATGTCACTGTCTCCGTGTTTCTTCCAGGTTATGGAAACACATATTTCACAGCCTTCTATAACCCACCCAGATACCCTTTAGAAGCTGAATTATTAAAGGACATATTATTCACAAATCTTCCTGTTATATTAGCAGGTGATTTTAATGCGAAACATGAGGAATGGAACTGTCGTAAAACAAACCCAAATGGAGAACAACTCTTTGAATTTATAAACAACGAACCTGTTTATTTCTTTGCGTCTGAGGAATACACTTATCTTGCACATGACCCGAACAGAGGGGACATTCTTGATCTACTACTTACCTCCGCTTCAATTCCAGTATATCTTGAAGTTGTTAATGATCTAAGCTCGGATCATTTACCTGTAATGGTCACACTTGGAATCCTAAAAGACAAAATGATGCAGGAGAAAAAGTTCACAGACTGGAAGCAGTATAATCTAATCTTAATTAATAGTACCTTCCTGAACACAGCTTTAAGAACCAAGCAGGACATAGACTTAGCTGTGCACCTGTTTACTAATAGTATCATTAATGCAGTCAATACTGCCACCAAGAGCATTTCCATTAAACAGACATCTGGCAGACTTCCCCCCCCCACACCAAAGATAAAATCACAGAAAGAAATAGATTAAGGAAAGCCTGGAATCGAACATGGAACCCAAGTACTAAAACGGAAATTAATAGACTGAATCGTGACATCAAGCAATCAATTCTTCAGCTCAGAAATGACCTTTGGGACGAGAAAATCATGAATTTTAATGAACCAGACAATGCTTTCTGGTCCTTTGTCAGAAATCTAAAAGGAAAGGCTGTAGCGAACAAACCACTTCACTTCAATAATTGCGTGGCTCTCACTAATAAAGAAAAAGCAAACGCCTTTGCAGAACATTTTGAAAATCAGTTTAAACTGAACGAGAGTCCTTGTGACATAGACTTCGCTTATGATGTAAGATACTGCATTAATGACTGGTTTACCTCACAGGAGTACTTAGAAGACAATCTGGAACTCACCTCTCCATGCAATAACCAACCTAGCGATCAAGAACTTACCGAAAAATTGTATTGCAAGATATGCCAGTATTTTAAATGCTTGCTTAACTATCAGATACTTTCCGCTTGGCTGGAAAAGAGCCAAAATGATTGTCTTACCTAAAGCCGGCAAGGTTATCACTTGCCCAGAAGGATTTAGACCTATTAGTTTGCTTCCCGTTTTGGGGAAAATTTTTGAACGCATCATTTATCATAGAATCCATCCATACTTAAAGAAACTACCAGAAGAACAGTTTGGTTTCTGAAAAACGCTTTCCACCATGAAACAATTGGTCAGACTTTCTAAGTTCATCGGCAGTGCATTACATAACAGACAAAATGTGGCTTTACTCATGCTAGACGTGGCTGAAGCTTTTGACCGCGTCTGGCACGAGGGTCTAATTTTCAAGCTCCGTTCCCTTGGCTTCAACAAAACTTTAACGTGTCTCATCTATTCATTCCTGAAAGGCAGAAGTTTTCATGTTTCTATTGAAAATGAGATATCTGAAGTCAAAGGAATTCACGCCGGTGTCCCGCAAGGGTCAATTTTAGGTCCGATCTTATATCTTTTCTTTGTGACTGACTTCCCTAAAACAGGCTTTAACTACAATTACTTCATTGGCTGTTATGCAGATGATACGGCACTTGCTGTAAAATCTATGTGTCCTAATCAAGCTGTCAGGAAACTTCAACAAAAACATGCCGCAAATAGAATTTTGGTGTACCAAATGGCGTATTTCAATTAATGCAGATAAATCCAAGCTGCTCATTATCCGAAAGAAGAACTCTGCCACTGAAATCACGGAAAAGCTTAAACTATTTAATACAGAAGTTCCTAGAGTATGCAAGGCGAATTACCTTGGCGTTATTATTAATGATAAATTTTCCTGGAAGGATCACCTGACTCATATCAGGGGAAAAACACTAGGAGTCATTCAGAGTCTCAACCCACTTATTAACGAGCACTCTAAACTGGACTTAAGAAGAAAACGGCACTTATACATCTCTGTTATACGGCCAATCTTCACGTATGCTTCCCCTGCGTGAGCATCAGTTAGAGACAGGGACATATCTAATTTACAAATTACACAGAACAAGTTGTTGCGCACCGTCACGAATGCGCATTATTTTGTATCTAATAGGACTTCACACAAAGATTTGAAAATTGAAACTGTCATAGAGCATCTTCATCGCCTAAACTCCAGCTTTTTCCAGAAAGCAGTTACATGCCCTCACATGACAAAATTACATGTATTTGACTACATTCCACTACCGGAAGATAAAGAGTTACGACCGCTGGCAGCCCACCTAGCCAGAGATCTGAACTTTCCTACATAAAGTAGAACATTCCTGTATATAGTTGTGCATATTGTATATAGCTTTTATGAATACTTTTCTTATTATTTCATCAAAACTTCTATATGATTTCTGATCTTCCAAACTGCATTTTTGTCACTGTAACTCTATATTTGCAAATGTATGCCTTTGAGAGTTTGTATTCTTACAAACTCATTCTGTCATGTTGTATACTTTCACTTAAAGACTCATTATTGCTTTACTTTGCACAGCTCCGTCTGCGGCGTGTCTTCTTGTCTGGCCTAATTCCTAGGCTTGCGGCATCTTGCTCGCCCCCCTTCTGCCTCACCTCATTCTCTTAACTCCTACCACGTCAGACTTCCTACCGTCATGTGCCTACTGGCTCTTCTCATGAGCTGGAAACAGCGCGCTACTCCAGCTATACTTTCATTTTGGTTCGCAATAGCTCGGTCAATTATATAGTCTAAGTCTTATTCCTTCTGGTTCCTGTTTCTTTGCTCCGTGGTGTGCCGTTCCAACCCCCATTGGAAGACGATATTGCGATGCATGCCAGCCAGCGACTAGTGCCATGATTCTGTACCGAAATATGACTTTTTCTGGATCCTGAAAAGCGACAACAACGTGAGTGACTGCTGTGGGCGGCATCCTGTTTTCATGAAGGCGGCATCTTCAACACAAGTGTTTTTCAGAATTAGCGGCGATGTATTTTCAAGCTGTGATTTCTCGTGTGTAACTACAGTGAGCAGCTTTTTGCCAGTTTAAGTGTTCTCAAGGATTTAGTTTAATTTTTCAGGTGCCTTCTTGACCACAAAACATGGACTTATTGATAGTGAAGCAAATTTCAATTATAACCGTGTAGTTTCTGTTTAGTGATATGTTTTTCACATATTGAATGCCAGTATTTAGAGATCAGGTAAAATATTTACTGTGTCTTTAATAGCGTAATATTCTTTAAAGGAAAAACCCTTGGGTTTATTGAATGATCAACTAAGTGTAATTTTGGATAATAATTATGTTATACTCTAAGTTTCTGATATTGATTAAATTTATTCATTGTATTTTTATTTTTATACGTTGTTAATAAATTGGTTAAGTTTAAAACTTTTGTCTTCAATGTCTGCACAGTATATAACCTTAGGGAGCTTCTATTGCTACTTCTGCTAAATGTTTTTCTTTTTTTTTACAACTTTAAACTTTGCTTTTGCATCAAAGACCTTTACGACTGCGCATATGCGTGTGCACATGCGCATAATACGTTTATGCATGCGCGTTTAATGTATAACGGATAGTATAAGCTAAAATTATATGTTGCAGATTGCGTTGTTCCATAATCTTCGAATTACATCCGGCTTATTATTTTTTGCAGACTGTTAGAGCAATTTTATAAAAGTAAGCTTGAACTTTCGATTATGTCAAATAGAATTTCCGATATATATTTACTAATATGTAAAGGATCTACAAAGCGAAAGTATGTTTCGAAACTCATTAAACAAAAAGTGGAATTGCTGCAAAAAATGGATAAAGGCATATCCTTTGTTTCTCTAACCATTCCGAAATCTGTTTATCAATTTCACGCTGCTCTGCGGCGGGGAAGGGGGGGCATAAACGCCGCGGCGGGCAATGAATTGGAAGTTGATCTGTCAGCACTATCCTTATCTTCACGGCAGATGTTTTTATTTTATTTGGCTTATAATTCTTTACTAAATGTAGTATTTCATCTCGATGTACTCCGTCTTTGATATGATTTAAATCAAATTCCTCGTCATTATAATTCGCTTCCAATAGTGAAGAAAGTGACACAGAGGTTATTGAAAACGAAAAATTTCTATTGACAAATTAGTCGGTATTCTCGACACAGCAATTATAGGACTTGAACAGCGGAACTTTGTAACTGGACAAGAAATTATGTCTGTTTATAGAATTAAAGAGAAAGTATTATCACATAAAACGGAGCAACTTAAACAACTTACATTGAAAGAAATGTTTAATAAAGTAAACAAATAAATATTAAGCTTTGTTTTTTTGTAAATTTTGATACCCTTTAGATCATAATTATTCTTTGTTTCATAAATTATGGTTTCATATTTTTAATTTTATAATTTCTTCATGCCATCTTACCAGATTTAAACTGAGGATCTATAATCCGAAAAAATCGATAATCCGGAATCGCCAAAGTTCCGACGAGTCCGGATTAACGACTTTTGACTGTATATGAAACCATTGTTAACATGCATCAGTCCCCAGGAACCTGCCTTGGACTAAGCAAAATAAGCTTGTTTAGTATGCAGGTAAAATAAGAGTGTTAGTATGCAGTAAATTAATGACCGAGGAAACTAATAATTAATTGGAATATGTTAATGATGGAAAAAATATTTTACTTGGATTATTTAAATGATTGTCTGTGACATAAAATCTCAAATAATTAGTTGTCAAATAGCCGGGAGAAGAAGAGGGAAAAAAAAAAAAAAAACTTACGAAAATGGAGTAGCATTTATAGGCCCATAGTAATAAGAATTAACTCTTGTAACAACTCTTCTCTGAAAAAATAATAAAAATATGCAATTATTTCAATAGAAAATGCATCTAAGTAACAGAGAAACTAGGGGAAAACATAAATTATTACTTAGTTGAATGTTTTGTAAAATTAAAAAATTGTATACTCACAAAATCATCAATTGGTATTTTTACAGGTATTTTCCCCCAGCCTATTTTTCTGTCCACCATGTAATTTCTAATCTGATGTGAAATATAATGAATAAAATCATTTTCAATTTCTTATACAATGGATATAATTATTGCAATTAATGTGTGAACATATTCAGAAATCAGAACTTACTGTTAATAACTGTTCATCAAATTCCTAAAATAAAAATAAAATATTTTAATTTAAAATAATTTTTATGAGAATTTAAACAACCTGTAATCTATTACTAGAAATAAAAGTTACTTTTCTTTCAAGGTATTGATTATATTTCATTTAATATGAACAACACTATGAAAATTCATTTTATGCAGGAAACGTTGAAATTCAGTTCAAATGAATAATATAAAAATTTAATAATTAGAAAATAAAAATTCAGAGAATATATAAGAATTATATTCAAAGAATTAGCATATAAGCAAGTAAACAAGTTTCAATGCTGATTCTTCACAATCAATAATTCAAAACCACATTAACTCTTCTCACGATGATTAAACTGATTTATGCCATAAAAGATAAAACTAGACAGCATACAGTAAAACTGGTTGACAGATATAAGAGCTTGACAAAAATACATTTATTAAACATGACATTTTTCAGCAATATTGTATATTTTGTTCTAACCAATTATTCTTAGTTTCAGAAACTTTCCTTTCCCTTCTGATTTCAATTTCCTGCCATAATGCAATTTAAATTATATATATGTAAATCTAAGTGAATTTGGAAACAGTATTTAAGTAGCAAATTTTAAGAGTTTGAAGTAGGAGAGCTTGTTCTGAATTTATGCCATGTGGTTGAAAAGTAGCTTTGTAGTTGAATAGTTGGTGCTAACCACTTACTTTCGATTATACTGATAATTATACTGATATTCTAGGCTCAGCTTTGCTGTGTGCAGCCAGTTGAGAGGTTTAGAGAGAGTAGGAGCCAATTGTGTAGCTAAACTTCAATTTATTGTGATTATACATACCACTTCCTGTTCAAGTTACTTAGCCTTAAGTGGTGGTTAAACTGTGAGCACCGAGTGAGTGCATTTTCTGTTCCATTTACTTTAAATAAAAAGGTTGTTGTAACCTTCGTCTGCAGTCATCTGTTCTTTTAAGACATAGCAAGAATTCGCTACTTCGTTTTTCAGTAGGGTCTGCAGTTTATGTTCTCAAAACATACTAGAAGACGCTACAGTATAAACTAAACTAACCATTTTATTTTAAAAATAATTTTAATATAAAACTGAAAATTTGCAACATAATACCCTGTATTATACATAGAAGAAAAAATAGTAGAACAAAAATAAATAAATAAATAAATATTTCCACAAGAATGCTATTTATTTGCCTTAAAGAAGAATTAAAAAATATTTCAAAAATTAAATCACCATTCAAATGGATTGAATGAAAAATTAAAAACTTCCCATGCTATTGCATACTTGTAAAGTTTATAATCATGTTATGGAATAAATATCTTTAATTACAAATAAGACTTTATATGTGAGTAAAGGAATAACTTCAACTAAGCAGCAGAAAGTTTTACTTGACAGCAAAGCCTTTAAATGTAAATTGCAATAAATTGTTAGGCAGCACATTTTGAAAACTATTACAAAATCTCACACTTAACATTCCCAGATTACGTGAATTTCAATACTCAATTTTATTAAACTATTTGAAATGAAGATACTTATCAAAAACCTAGATGCTGATGCCATATTGAAGAATCAAAAGGCATATATGTTTAAAATGAAGCAAAAACCAAATGAAATATTCCAAACTGACACACTAAAAATCCTGTTTGAGCATTAGTAAGTAAACAGCTTTCACAGACTGCTCATCTTTGAATGCTCCCAATTTATTGATGCTTAAAAAAGTTTTTAGCATGTCAACGTAGAATATTTTTGTTTTTAACTTTAAATGAGAGAATTTGTACAATCAGGAAAAAAATTTAGATTTTGAACATTCTGAATACACAATTGGAAGATACTACAGCGGAATGGAAACAGAACAAAATAAAACTATATGTACTACACAAAAATGACAAGTTTATTTACAAATTAAGTTTAACTGGAACAAGTTGGCAATAATCTTTCAAAGTCCTAATTTTAATCCTAATACAACCTGCTTCAGCACATCTATACTACATTGCTGATGTCACTCTTTCCCTGCAATTTCTCTACACTGGCTGTAAACTTTCACCCAATCACTGTCCAGAACTCACAAAAGGAAACTGAGATTATAAATAAATCCAGCAGCTTAAATACACTTCACTTATTCCCCTGCTGTTGCCTGAATAAGCCACATCTCTTGCTTGCCTGTAGCACTATTGTTCAAAAATGTTAAAGCGTTTTTTATAAATTGTGGGGTGCAGTTTTCCTCGCTTCTGCTCTACCAAACAAAGACAATGGGAAAATCAAAGACATACATAAGGAGTTAATATGTAATTGAAAAAGTGCTTCAAGAGTGTCCGAGAATAAATTATAAGCTGAACTCGGCACATCTGTCTGCAACTCCATCATTTCATCTACTATGCAGCTAGCAGCATCAGGCTGTATCTCTCTTACAACCACCATCTCAGGTATGACTAAAAAAATGATTGTTTTGATCTTCTCTAGCCAACTCTCTACTAAGTTCTATTGACAAGAACACACACACACACACAGATTAAAATGTAATTTTATTATTCATAAAAGAAAAAAAAATGCCACACATACATAAAGTCCTGAATCTGTATCAACTAATTCAACCTCTGTCAAATCAACATTTCGGTAACCAGGTTTCAAAAGATCTTGAAACTGAAACAAGTTAAATGATTTAGTTAAGCATATGCAAAACAAATTTAGACAAACAAACAAACAAAAAATAATAATAATATAGAAATACAAAGTATACACGTAAAACTGCAGAAATAAAGTATCAATTATGTACAGAATTATATGAACATATACAAAAGAGCTATATGTAACTTACTAATGGTTGAAGATTTGGATGAAACAAAACATGGCCATTGTTTGTGATAGCAAAAGAATAGGCATTAACACCAAGCTGAAATAGAAAAGAAAATGAGTTGAATATATAAAGAGTAAAATAGTAATAATAAATTAAAATTAAGAAATTCCACATATTAAACGTCACACACATAATTCTGCTTAATAAATTATTAACCATCTGTAGACTAGACATTAAGATGCAATGGATTTTACAAAAAATAGTGTATCACCTTATAAGCTCTTGTTAATTTTGTAATTTCTCGAATAGGAACATCTGTACCAGCAACTCCCAACAGAACCGCAGATTTCATCTAAATAAAAATAAGTGAAAAACTATAGTTTTATATTATGTGATGCAAAAATCCTATACAAATTTTGGTGCTTAAATATTTATGCAGCCACATTAATACGTCATAGGATTCAAAAGTTCTCAGACTGGGTTTATAACATAAACATATTTTGCAGTAGTGCGACTACGAGAACGTTTTTGTGTTACTACATTGTCCCCTTTTTCTAAAAGTGGTTTGTAGCAAATCGTGTGGTCAAAAGCACACGCTGACAGCTTTTTTTTTTTTTTTTTTTTTTTTTTTTGTAGACAGGCACATTTAGTAACTGCTGATATAAAGAAATGGCATCAGTACAGCAGAGAATCAATATCAAATTTTGTATTCACTTGGGAAAGAGTTCTATGGAGACTTTTGAAATGTTGAAGCATGTGTATGGAAGTGAAATGTTATCGATAATGCAAGCTTTTGAGTGACATCGTCATTTCAGAGAAGGCAGGGAAAGTGACGAAGACAATGAACGCTATGGCCGTCCTGTGACTTCACACACAGATGAAAACATCAAAAAGGTGTCTGTGGCGGTACATGCAAACAGGCAGAAAACAATTTGCCAAACAGCAGACCAATTGGGATATCAGAGGCCACATGTCAGCGGATACTGATTAAGGATCTTAACATGCATAGGGTGTGTCAACACATTGTTCCCCGAATGTTAAACGTAGACCTAAAGGGAATTCGAATGGAAATGGTGAGACATGATCTCGGCTGTTGACAAACAACTTTCCCAACTTGACAGAATTGCTACCAGAGATGAGAAAATGTGTTTTTTTGTATGACCCACAAACCAAGAGAGCATCAGCAATGTGGAAATCACCACAATCTCCATAGAAGCAGAAATTTCACCAAGATTGCTCTAAAGGAAAGGTCATGGTAAAGGTATTATTTAATATCCAGGGCACTGTGCATCTGGAATTTATCCATGAAGAATGCACTGTGAACAAAGAACTCTACATTGAAATCCTATGTTGTTTGTGTGAGTCGATCTGGAAGAAGTGACCAAAAATGTGGGCTGAGTAGTCATGGGTGCTGTAGCATGAAAACGCTCCTGCTCACCGATACCTACTTGTCAATGACTTTCTTGCAAAAATAAAAACTGTTTTGCCTCATCTTCCTTACTCACCTGATCTCGTATTTCCTGTGTGTGTGTGTGATTATGGCAAAGCCTCAAGGGCTATCTGCTTAAGAGGAGGGATGCCTTCGTAGAGGACCTACTTGTCAATGACTTTCTTGCAAAAATAAAAACTGTTTTGCCTCATCTTAATTACTCACCTGATCTCGTATTTCCTGTGTGTGTGTGTGTGATTATGGCAAAGCCTCAAGGACTATCTGCCTAAGAGGAGGGATGCCTTCGTGGAGGACTTTCTAAGGGAAACTGGCTCGTATACACGTTACACATGGGGTAAACCACGAAAACGCCCATGCAAGCTTGCCCGTTCACGGGATTCGAACCTCGGACCGAACTACCAGTGTTCAGCGACTTTACTGCTCAGCCGCTGGTGGGCCTCTCATATTTCCTGATCTCACCTGATCTTCCTATTCCTAAACTGGCAAGGCACTTGCAGGGTCATCGATTTCTACCTCCAGATGAAGTTAAATGTGCATCATAGGCTGAATTAAAGGACATGGCCAAAAATGGATTCCAGACATGCTTCGATGAACTTTACAGCGTTGGCAACAGTGGGTTGTTGCACAAGGGTCTTATTTCGAGGGAGGATGTGTTTCTGGAATTTAATTCATAATATTTTTTATGTTATAGACTCAGTCCAGGAACTTTTGAATTCTACCTTGTAGAAGTCACCAAATTTTGAGATTCTGCCAAACTCTGACAACCGTATGCATAAACATTTTTCCGACAACCATACTCGTCCTTCAGTCAAGCAGTTTTACCATTCTAGCTGCTCAGATGGCATTATGGTTAGGGGAGGTAACTGTGGTGCAGAGGGCTTGGGTTAAATCCTGGAGAAGGCACGGATGTTTGTAAATGTACGAGTATAATGTCCTTGCGACATTGGGAGCACTCTAAATATATGGTGAGCCAAACGTCCTCTCAAGAGGTTGTGGTAGAGAAGGAGGGATGGGACACCTTCAGACCAGTCCCTCCAGTGTGCTCTTCATCAAAAATAGGGGTGGAACAGAGCAAAGTCATGCTGTTTCCTGTATGATGCTTAAGGCTCTTGCCAATGACAGGTGCAATTTTGCTCTCCTTGCCATGATGAATTTTGTGAGCTTGTTCTAATGTTACTATCAGACAAGTCAGATAAGCCACAACATTCCACCATTCTTGTATGTGTTCTTTTTGTTGCATACCAATTTATGTTTGTTGCATTTAAGTTCAGTGTGTCGCAATCATAGACACACTTAACTTTAAAATATAAACTTCTAGAATTTGCCAGCAATGGAAGAAACCATGATAAAATACACAATTTTATGAAAGAGAACAACGAGGAAATGCATTTCGCAGATAGGTGTTGTTGTCGAGGGTTGCAAAAAGAGGAGTCTCTGGAATTCTCTGACATTTTTAAAAGCAAAAACAGATCACTCTGTACTTTGGAAGAAGAATAGCACAAAAATATTACAGGAAGATTTGAAGAAGAATATATGTGTTTTATTTTTTAACATATCATATAATTCTTATTTAATAATTTTAATTTATATTTTAAAGTATGTTTCCTTTTCATGTGTTGATAGTGTTTACCGATGCATGATAAATTTATAATTTGGAAATCTTTCTTTTTTAAAAAAGAAAAGTTCTCATGGCTTTTTTTTTTTTCTGTAAAAAATCGCCAAATTGCGCCAAGGTGTTCCTTTAATATGTAAACACCAAAATGTTTTTTCATTTCTTGTGTATACAAAGAACTGAAACTTTAGAAAGATACATGCATGTAACTTTCATGTGAGTTACTTGTTTTTCAAAAGTTTCAGATTTGAAAACTTCATACTTAAATGTAGCGGCACCTTAGTCTATGTCATTAATGCATTTCAGATTCTTGGATGTATACCAAACAAACTAGTAAGAAATTTTTAATATGAAATAAATGAAAAATGATTAATCCATTCTTATAAAGTAATCCTATTGTTATTATAATGCTGTTTAATATTAAAATACAAATGCAACAGGTGAAATCTACACAAATGAAGTTCTGAATAAAGAATATAAAAATATAGAAATGAAAGTTCGGCACATGATACTGTACACAAATGTTTTTCTGCTATCAAGTAATTTATTGTAAGACTTGCAGACATTTGTTTACAGTTAGGCATATCAGATTTCTGCTATCAAGTTCTGTACATGATATTGTACATTATATTAAAAGCAATTTTTAACATGCTCTAACATCTCTGATCTGTGTTTGGTAATTGTTTTCATCTCTTTTGCAATGTTATCACAATCGTCACTGATTTAACAGCATGTATGCTTTTCACAATCATAGACACCATTGTACTCAGCATACAGTATGCAATTACCAGGTCTTGGATACAGAAATCCTCTTCATATTTTTCACCTCCATGATGATAATAACAGTTTTCTTTGATGCTTTAATCCTATCATCAAGTCTTCTAAAACACAATTTAAAATCTGCTTGTTTAGTATCAACAAGTGTACTGATTCCCATGGGCAGTCATAACAAGATCTTGAAAGAGGTAAACAAGTGTACTGCATTGCAGTCAGGTCTCATCAAATTCAAGTCATATTCCAAACGAATGCCGTACACTAAACAAGAATTTTTATGTCTAAACAGGACACGTACCAAACTGGACATATTTCAAAGCACACATATATCAAGGTATTAATGCACTAGTTTCAAGTTAATACCAAAGGCATAATATTATGGCTGCAAGAAACAATTATAATATATTGTCAAAAATAAAAGTGATTGCTAAACTACAAATACTTTATGAACTAACATTAAATTCTATATTTCAGTTATTGTATATAATTTGAGCTAAACTAAACAAACAAACCAATATAAAAATGGAAAATTGAAGAATTCTTGTGATTTGGAAACAAAATATATATTTAATCTTGATTTCCTTGTATTTGAAACAGATGCTTCGGTTCACAAAACACAATTTGACAGAAATAGCTAACTTCTGAAATAATTACATTCTTTTGTTCTAAAAGTATAAAATAAATCTAACGTTTTCAAAATTCAATAGTTCAACCAGTTTTAAAGTATTACATGAAATTAAATGTTACTTAAAAAGTCGGTGCTAAGAGTTTTTGATGCCTATTACAACCTCTACCATTTCTAAATTCTGCCACTCAGTACTAATAAAATTTTACTGCCCATAAAGGCTGCACAGGATGTACTAGCTTTGGTAGGAATCATAAAACTTAATGTCTTTCTAATGATATCAGCATAACTGTTTATTACATATTTAATGAAAATATAATGAAACAGAATCAAATAGTATATTAATTATAAAAAAAAATATTTACTTGTTTACTATTGCCATTTTATTCCATGTAATTAATGAAATAACGCTTTTAATTACCCTATTTGACGGCATATAAGACGCACCCTTATTTAGAAGGCCACACACATGTAGATGTAGAAAAAGTTATGTGTGTCTAGATCTTTATCCGGGCTAAAAATAGCATTCAGTATTGAAAGTTAACCTGTGTCCTTCACGTGTAAGACGCAGGTAACTTTTTTGAGACCAAATTTAGGAAAAAAAGTGAGTCTTATATGCCGTCAAATACGGTAACACTTATTAATAAGTGTAAAATTATTAATTGCATTTAGATATTTAATATATGAAGTATTTCAAGAATGAAACTCACATTTCTTGTGTCAAACACAGGTGTGGCAACAGTAGTCATTAATTGCAAAGGCTGCATGAAATAAATTTTACATAATAACTATAGTAATACATAAAAGTAATACATAAAATAAACGGTACTTAATAAATTCAACAATTTTATATTATAATAAATAATAATTTAACATTATAATAAATATAGTGCACTAAATTTTATATTAAATATATAAATTGATACATGTATATAAATTGATACATAATTAATTTTAAAAAGTGTATCATTTGGTCAGATAGAATACATAATTTATTCTTAGACAGTAATACTAAAACAATTTATGAAAAGTTAATTAAAAAGGAAGAGCATCATTTGGTTTAATGGAACATATAATTTATTCAAAATTTCTGAAATCATCAAAAAGGCAGTTTAGAGCATACACACCTCCTTCCTCCTATATCGACTACGAGGAATCTAAGTACCAACAATGAAATATCAACATAATGAAAGGCGTTGAGAAAAATGTCAGATATTTCCAAGTTAGGCAGCATGCAAATAAAAGTGAAACTTATCGAATAAAAATCAGTTTAGCATTGAGAAATTATACATACTTGATACTCATAACAGTACAGCCAATAAAATCTATTGCAATAAAACTCTTATACTATCAATATAAATATTTATTGCAGAGCTTATTTATTACACATCCAAAAGTTAAAATGTTTTAGTTTAATAAATAATAATACAGTTATAGGAGAAAATGTGCATAAATAAATACATACAAATCCAATTTGTAACGAATCCCCAGATATAATGAACAAACTTTTTAGTCCAACCCAATTTCCAAAACACTTAATGCTATTGTATACAGCTGCTGCAAACTTTTAGTTGTATAAAAATCAGATATAAAGAGCTTCGTGGGCAACAACTAAAATATTTTTACACTTTCCATAGTTTTTCCAAAACTTCTGGAATTTTTGACTGAAAAATTACTAGGTCTTAAAATATCCATGTTTAGAAGTTATAATCCACATTCCTTTGACATGATGATAGCACAAAAACCTTTACATTACTGTTATATTCCTCCACACTTTCCTCTGTGTTTTAAACTAAATCTATGAATAGCAAGTGTAGCCCAGTTTTTGAAAAACCAAGACATAAAATTAGTTCACTTGCATTAGGAGATTGTATTGAATGCACTGAGTCAAAGAACCACTGAATTAAAGAACTTAATGGATTAATTCAAGTTCTTTGATGGGCTATCAGATAGAGCTCTACTCAAGACTGATGCTATGATGGAAATTTTGAATTTGTTCATACTCAGGGAAAAAGGGAAATAATATTTATTCTTAAGTTTTCATGCTTGACACTTTTTTTTTCCAGTATATAAAACATTGCTCAAATTCTGTTTTCTGAATAGAGGAATATTTTTGATACTTTTGCAAGATGTTCTACATAAGGGCTCTTGCACCTCTGCTTTGCACGCATACACATTTGGGGGAAATGAACGCATTCTCATTGGATAAGATAGATTAGTCATGATATTATCTTAATTTTTTACATTTTCAAGAAAAATGAAACTTCTTGCAGTCTGGATTTCAAAGAGTTAAAATAACTATTTATTTGTAATAAATGTGTATTTTAGATGCAAATGTGTAATTAGAAAGGCAGGTCTGAACCATAACTTTTAAGCTAAATAATTTGTTGTAACTAATGGATAATGGAACTAAAAAGAAAAAAAAAAAAAAAAAAGACATTTAATAAACAAACAAAAGAAAATTAAAACAAACACATTAATAATCGCAAATAATAACATATACTTCTGAATATAAGCTGAGATAGCATTCTTTCTTCAGAAATTTACCTATAATTCAAAACCCATATATAAGCTGAATTAAAACATGTAACATTCAAACTTCTGACCATGAGGGTAAAAATGTTGCCAAGAAGGCAATTGGGTGGAATATTTTCCAATGATTCACTGTAAAATAAAATGCCAGATGCCAACAACTATGGTTTTAACTCTGGTAGCTTTATCAGAAGTTAGTACATTTATTTATCCATTTGTTGTTTTGTATACTATCTGTGGCATCTGTGCTACAGTTATTTTCATTTTGGTGATGACACAACAAACCAGTAGTACAAACAAAATAAAACTCATTTTAATAAAATGAATAATTTATTTCATTTCAAATTAATTTTCACCCCCTTAAACATAAGAGCTAGAAAAAGTGGTATATTTGGTGACTTATCACTTATGTTTAACTAACCAGAGAAGTACCTACATTTTTAGCGAGATTGGCAGATTCAAATATAAGCCAGTGCCCATCAATTAGCTTTAGAAAAAGCTGAAAAAATGTTCAGCTTACACACAGAAATATGCAGTAATTGTCAATTAATTCTTAACATTGTTTTTAATGTTAAAATTATTATTATTATTTTTAAAGATGTGAGAATGTTAATCAGCCTTTTGTGTGATTTATTAATTCTTGCACTCTATTATAAGATAAATTTTTTTTCATCTATAAAATTGGATAAAGGGAACTAAACTTTTGGCCACTTGTTGTTTGTAATAGCAAGGTTTGACTATTCTTCTCTTTTTGAATGAGTGGTTTTTATGAATATTTAAAAATAATTTACTTTTTAGATAATTTTCATTATTGTAACTTAAAATTGGTAATTTAATCATTTTATTTCAGATAGTTAATTGTAAAAATTCCTTCAAGGGAGATTTTAAAATAGCTTCTTATCTATCAATCATACTTGAATGAAAGAGAAAGAAGCATAGCATGTTTCTCTTCCTTTTTTTCAACCTCTATTTGGACATCTAGTTCATGGAAAACTCAAACTAACTATTTGATACTTTTAAATTTGATGGGAAGGCACTAGCCTGGGTTGAAGATTTTCTGAAGGGTAGATCTTTTTTTGTCATTTTTAATTAATCGTATTCTAGAGAATACAGACTAATACAGGGTCTGCCTCAGGGCCTTGTGATGAGTCCTTAATTATTCACATTATATTTGGAAGGAATTGAGGCAGTTATTATCCACAGAAAGTGAAATTGGACTATTTGCTGATAATCTAATTTTATGGAACTCTGGTGCAGATATTGGACTGGCTTATAATATCAATTCCACCCTTTCTGAAGTGGAAGTTTTTGCCATTCACCATAAAATACAATTTAACATTTCTAAATTTCTTGTGAGCTTTTTACCACTAATCGAAAATTACATTTATCATCTGTATAATATTATATTGAACCAGTCTTTATCATATATTAAACATCCCAAATATTTGAACTATATTTGATCCATAGTTGTTAAGTAATAAACATATTGAAAACCTGGTTTTGGCTAAGAAAAGACTTAACATCCTTAAGTATATATCTGGAACCGAGTGGGGGACGGATTCATCTACTCTCAAATCTACATATACGTCACTTCATAAGACCCATTATGGAGTATCGTTCAGAGGTTTACTTCTGTGCTTCTCCTACTAATTTGTCTAAACTTGAGCGTGTTCAGTTGAGTGCAGCACGACTAATTGCTACCTTATGCAACAGCTTTGATTGTGATATGCAACCATTAAATTTATGATGCAAAGCTAAACTGTCAAAATACTTTATTAAACTACACAGTTATGGTACTCATAACCATACATCTATACTTCTTCATGATTGGGTTTCTAATCAAAGATTAAAAAGAAATAGCCCTTTTTCTTGGTTTATCTCATGGGTTTAATAGATGCAACTGTTGACAGATACTCACCAAAGCTTGCTATCAACCCACTAGAAGGACTTCCTGGCATCTATTTTTCACACAAACCTAAACTCTAATACCTGCACCTCCCCTCAAAAAAAAAAAAAAAAAAAAAAAAAAAAAAAAAGGATTATCTTTGGCATATTCCATAGGAAACTTTAAATGGCATGCCCTCTAATGCCCTACAGATTTTCACTGATGGCAGTACAAATGAACATGGGAATTGTGGTAATGGAATCTTCATTAGAATACCTATTAATAGCTTTAATTTTAAAACTAGAAACCCTGTTCACTGTTCTATTTTTCATTCTGAGCTTATAGCAATTGAGGAGGGTTTTAAGGCTGTATACACTTGCACTGCCTACATAGATATCTGGATTTTGACTAACAGTCACAGTCCTATCCAGCAGCTGCAAAACTAGCCTTGTATTGGTGATAAACCTTCACTCTCTATTTTGGCTTTAGTACAAAAACTCTCCTCCCATCATGATGTACATCTGCAATGGATCCCTTCAAATATTGGCCTCAGCGGTAATGAAATGGCTGATGCCCTGGTTAATGATGGCACTTTAATGACTTAATATTTCTCATTAGTTAAAGCAAAATTTTATGATTTCTATGATATGATAAATGACCAAGAAATAACACTCTGACCTTTTTGGAAATCTGCTCGAGAGTTAAAGCTACTGTTGCCTCTTCCTGGCATTCTCCTCCAGCTCATGATTGGTACTCTGGCAGGCAGCCAGTAGATGCTATTGTTTTTCGGGGTAATCGTGCTCATCAGATTACTTTGATGAGGCTCCTAAGCGAACACTTGAAATGCCTTAAATTTCACCAGGTAAATAAGATCTACCACATTGGCAAGAAATGTAATGCTGATCATTTCACTCCTGGACATCTTCTCACCTGTTTGGGACTTGTAAAAGAGGCCCTATTGAAAAGACCTACCTTCGTATTAGAAATATTGACAGTTCTTGGAATCATGCATCTGCTCTAGCCTAATGGCTAACCAATTAAGATCAGTAACAACAAAACAATAAAACTTTTGTTTTTTTAAAAAAAACTCCACATAGCCCAGCATTTTTTACTCTATTGTTAATGCCCCTATACTGGTTTAAAATATCTCCATTTTAAATCCCATTCTGCTATTTAAAAAGCCTACAAGAAATCTGAAATGATATTCAGCATAATGAACATAGACCATTGCTAAAATATTTAAAGAAGCTTCATCATGCAAATTTTATGGAACATTATTATACTGATTATCAGAATTTTTTTACATTGATCTTTTGACACTTCATTGAAAACAAAATGCATACAAGAACAAGATATCAATAATTATATATAAATGGTAGAAAACTACAGTTTTTGAGCATTCATATATATTTCTCATTAGTTAAAGCAAAATTTTATGATTTCTATGATATAAAAAATGACCAAGAAATAACAAAGGCAAGGAATAACTAAAACCCTGTAAAAATTTATATTAATTATATAATAAAGAACAAAAATAAAGTTGAATTCTATTAAAAAGCAAAAATTTGATTTTATATTTATGAAGGGATTGCACAATTTCACAAAGAATAGAAGAAAATATATAATGACCATGATTTTTCACTAATGTTTCTTATTTGGAACAAAAAGTTTCCTTAATGTATCTTCGATGAGTAGAAAAACCTTTTTCACAAATGCAATCCCAGGTACTTAACATATGGCATTAAAAACATCTTTTAGTAATTATAATAAAGGTCAGCGTATTTTATTATGTTAATTAAATACATTGTTAAAATAAAATTAAGTTCTAAATTATTAAGAAATGTATTTATTGATTTTTTAAATTCCAATGTTAAGAAATTACAGGTTAAATTAATTTGAAAGATGTTTTAAATATCTTTGTTTTTGACAAATGGCAAAATTCTGAGAACTGGTTAAGCATATGATAGTGCAGAAAATAAATTACAGATCTTATGTCTTGTGCAATGATACTGCTTACTAAAACAATGGGATGATATAGTCACGCTAGCATAAATATGACAGGGAAAAACAATTTAAAAACATTTCTAAAGCCACAAAAGGGGAAGGGTTAAGATAAAATTTTGAATGCATGAAAAGTAAGACTAGAAAAAGATCCTTTAATATTTAACATGAAGCCACAGTTCTATCTAAACAGTATTATGGGCAAACCAGTATGCTGGGGTCATTAAAATGACAACCACTCACAGAAATGAATTTTAAATGGGTAAGCATGGGGCTAAATGCCCATCAGGCCCATGCATTAAGATAGTCTTGTATGGGAAAGAGGAAACTAAAAAATGTTTTATAACAAACTCTGGAATACATATATATCAACATATTTCTATCAGGAATTTAAAAAAAAAAAAAAAAAAAAAAAAAAAAAAATGCATATCCTTCACAAAAAGGATTTAAATATTTACTCAGGCTGTATTAGTATTTTCAGCACTGCCAAATTAATCAGATAAATTATATAGCATTTTATGTTATATGAATGTGGCAAAGCATATGAAGGCTATGTGCTAAGGATAGAGATGCCTTTATGGAGGACTTTCTGAGAAAAACTGTTTGTATTCACATTATGAACCATGAAATCAATCATGTAGCCAGCCTATTTGCCAGTGATCAAACCTGGTTTGAGCTCTCAGCAATTGGCACATTTCAGATATAAGCATCAGAAGCATCCAAGTTTATAAACATCCCAGACAAAATACTGCAAAATCAGAATTTTATTTAATGTAATATATGATTAAATCATCATGTTCCCTGATCACAACTTGGATCTTGCAATGCATGGCTTTGAAATGTGGAGATTACCTTTACACTGATTTTTGTCCACTAGCCTATCAATCTGGTTGTAAATTCTGCTATTGTCTGTAGATGGGTAACACTTTTTGTAACAGCAGATTCCAAAGTATCCCAAATTTTCTCAATTACATTATGATCAATGGATTATTTAGCTAAATGAAATATGGCACATCAACTTCATGCTCTGCAACAGCTTTCAACACATCTGACTCAACATATGGTACAACTAGTCTTAGTAAATAGGTTTGGATAGACAGGATATCTCCAATTTTCATCTTAGCGTTGACTTAAACCCAATGGTCCAACACCAGAGTTGCTGACTGTTCCCTTCCTTCTATAGAAACTACCACACTTGCACTCATGAGTGGAATATATCTTTGGAGACAGTCTAGATTATATGCCTCTCTATCCTCCTGGTGATGCAGTAACATGCATCATCGGAATACAAACAGAAGAGTGATGCATCTGATCATATGCATATTGCAAATCATTTGCAGTTCAATATTGATATATTTTAGCACATTGCAGTCTCTTTTACTTTTAGGCTGTTGCAATCTAAGGATGTTCCAAAGTAGCAGAATAATTCCATGCAATAAAGCTCTCAGTGCAGGATGTGCTCAGAAATAGGCAGCCCAGCAGCAATTTATTATTACTGGTCCCTGTTTCGGAACTGATCAGAAATAACCATGCCAACAATCCCTCAGGGATAATATCATTCTTTAGTCAACACTACATTTCTTAGAACTGTTTGTTCAGGACAAATACCTCTCCTTATGCATAGAGGATGCTGTCAGATAAAAGAATGCTGAAATTGCTGCAACGTTGTCGCCATGTTCCCAGCCAAACATTATGGCTGTGCTCTCACAATTGGTGATGCCTTATTTGCCAGCCTTTCCAGCTTTACAATGCTCACTGATATCAAAGATTTGCTATACATTTAAGAGTACTCTATAACTTACTTCCTGTTCAAAGATGTGAGGTGCATGATTGAAACTTGCTCTTAAAATGCAGGTTGCAATACATGCTGATTTCATAGAATTTTGTCTGGTGTGTTTAAGCAAAAATTTAATTGCGTAATAACAAAATATACTCAAAATAAATAAAATCTACTTCAGTCTAAAATACTTTAGCGAGTATTTAAAAACTAACCCTTATTTCTTTATGTTCTCGTATAGGTTCTGGTGTACTACCAGGATCATCAGGTTCATCATCTTCTTGTGAAGCAAACCACATTTCACGCCGCATTGCATTAAGTTTATGACGAATACGCTCAAATTCCCTATCCTCCCATTCTGCTAGAGTCAAATCAGTCGCCTATATTTCATTCAATGTTGCCCAGAATTAAAAAAAAATTATATAACTTATAAATAAATATATAAAAAAAAAGCAAATAAAAGAAAACGCTAACTAAATAACATATTGTATTTTAAAATTCAATAATTTGCAAACAATAAACAAAAGTCTGATATGGATAAATAAGTAAAATAATAAAAATAACGCCTGTAGCTTTAAAAATAAATTAAAAATTATAAGTTTTTTAATTACAATTCATTATATAAATTAAAAAATTTTATTTTTAAAACTGTGAATTAGGTATTTTTAATATGATTAAATTGTTCTTTAATATAATTGCATAAGTAACAGCATATTAATAAGAAATAACAAATAATTGTTCTGCAAAGACTGTATGTTATAACATCCATTCTACAAAGATTCTGTATACCCCTAAAAGTTCATTAGATATCCTAGGCTCCTATACACTTCAGCATTTAATTTTTCGTCTAGAATAGTTACAGAAATACATACAAAATCTGAAAATCTTTAATTTTTCAAAAAACTCTAAATACAAACTGTCTTCACACACACTTGTATATACTAAAATTTTGCATTCACATACATCTAACTGGAAAAGAAACAAAAATTAGGCTTTGACTAATTTTACATTCTAATTCTGATTATTCTTGCCACATTAACAAGATATTAAATAATATAAAACCCATTAACTAATACAAATAACATCAATTCATACAAGCAATTTTCAAATAACTGCAAAATATAGTATTACTAGCAATCGAATAATATCTGGGAAATTTCTAATGAATAACTTGTGAGCAAAATTATTACTAACAGGAACATCAGCATAAACAGATGTCCATACAAATGGTCGTGCACGAGAAAGTACAATAGGTCTGCTCATAACAGGAATGTATTTCTGCAAAATATTTTATAAATGCATATGAATAACATAATAAATAAACACAAAATATGACACTAAAGCAATATAAAGAGATATACAAGAATAGTTTTTATCAATAATTCAGTGATGAAATAATTGCACTATTAAATCTACCACTTTTAAAGAAAACGTTACTCTTAATAAATGAATAAATATAATAATTTTAAGTTATGAATTGAATCACTAAACATACTAGGAAGGATTCTATTTAACTGAGTTAATTTACTGTATAATTTCATATGAAACAGCATCTGGTAATCAGATTCTAGTCTTATACTCAAAGGAACATTTCTACATTGGTGGCTAAGGTAAAAGGCGAATCAGGAGAGTATGACAATTACTCTTCTTACATAAGGTTTCAATAGGACTGAAAGAAATTAATCTTATATTAATAAATTATATAATATTTATATTAATAATATTATCAATATAGCCATCATAGCTTAGAAATTAACATTGAAATGAGAGAAAATATTTTAAAAAATTTACGAAGGGTGATAAAAAAATAATGGAAAATGATTTATTAATCTTGAAACACAAGTATATTAGGCAGAGTTTATCTCGATAGGGTCTTTTCAAAACAGTCATCATTAATTGCTATACATTTGGCCGCATATGCCTCCCACTCCTGGAACATGGACTAGAACTTATCTTTTGGCATCATGGTTAAAACCCCTTCTGTTTTAAAAATGACCATTGATGAATTGAAACAGTGGCTTCAAACCTCTGATTTTAGACAAGGGAATGAAACAATACCATAGAGCTAGGTCTGGTATATATTCAGAGAGAAGCATAAACTAATTTTTTTTTCAGTCGCACATTGGAAACATAAGAGAGTGTATTATCCTAGTGTAAATGCCAAGCAGATGCTTACATTCCAGCTGATTTTTGTTGGGCATTCTCAAATAGGTTCTTCAGAAATGCAACAGAATATTATGGAAAGTATCAATTATATATTCAAGCATTGCATGTTGTTCCATTATATATAAAAAAAAAAAAAAAATAGCCATTTCTTCTCCCAAATGTAACAGCCTTCTCTGAAATTTAATTGTTTTATTTGATTATGGCATAAGACACAACAGCTGTCTGTCTACTCTAAGGATGCCTTCATGGAAGACTTCTTATTAACTTATTATTATACTTATTATCTTAGAAGAATTTCTTATTAACAAACTCAGCGGCTTCAAAGCAAGCAATGGAAACACTTATGGGGAAAAAAAATTATCTTCAGTGTGCAAGATGGTATATCGAAAATTCTAAAGATATGCTCTTTTTAAATTCTGGGATATTGCTGTTGAATTGAATTTTATGGTTTAAGTGCAAAGAACATGATATTTAATACATGAAAGTAACATACAAATCGTTAAAAAAAGGGCTCTTTAAACGTAATATAAAATCTGAAAGTTTACAGAATTTTATTTTATTTATTTATTTTGCCAAGCTATGTATTATAAGTTTTATTTACCTGCACTTTATCCCGCACTTCAGATAAAGTTGCCATATGAGTATAATAACCTGTTAAAAAAGAAATATTTCCAAATATATGTATATATATATATAATATTGGGTGGAGGAGAGAAATAAAAGATTCACACCAATAACAATAAAAATAACATCACAGATTGATGGAAATAGTTGAAAATTTACTATTCACATACTTTTTTAAACATTCAATTTTTGAGATTTTGCACTGAAACCACATCTTTTTCAGCTTAAATATTTATTACTGACTTCATTTGATACTGTTTTGATAATTAGACTACTGAATGACTTCAGTGTGTGGTAAAGACTGAGAACTTAAAGAATTGAAATTTTATATATTTCAGGCTAAAAAGTATTACATTTAAAAATGGCATTTTCACATATTGAAAACAGAAGTTTCCAGACAATATTTATGAGTTTAGCTTCTCTGAAATATCTATAAAACCTTTATTTTTGAAAATCTCTTAAAAAAAGAGTTTACTAGAGGGAAGCTCATTTATTCATTTATTTGTTTGGCATAATAGAAGTCACAGACAGTCTGAAAATTACATTTTCAAATCTTCTTATATATTATAAATAGTACATAATACCTTTATTAGCACAAGCCATCCAGTTAACTTCATGAGTTTCTGTGACTTCCTTACCAATAAGATATGTAAAAACACGCACCTGAGAAAAGAAAGAATATTAGAACTACAAAGTAAAATTAGTTAAGGAATAATATAATTCATTTTACCTTCCAAGATATCATTCTTTGATTTAAAAGAAATATTTATACAACAATAAAAATTTTTTCCCAATGAAAATGATAATATCAGTGCATATATTTTTCCAAGACATTTATTTATCTACTTAGAGAAATGCGACACTTTTATGATAAACAACATACATGTTTTTTACTACCCCGTACATTTACTCAATGTGTAATATGCTATAATAGCCCTTTACTTGAAGTTTATTTCACATACAAACATTTGCCCATATTCTATAACCAGCTCAGCAAACAAACCATTATTATTTTTAAGCACACGCAATTTGAAACTCCCGAAGTATAGATAAAAAATCACTATAAACAAATGCACAGATTAATTTAAGCTAAAGTGTACTAAGGAAATATTTATATAAAGTGACAGCAAAAATGAAATAAAGAATAATTAAATTGATATAAAGTGGCCAGAATCAAATTACATTTAAAATGAATTGCATCAACGAGGAAATCAAATAGTCATACATACAGGTATATTTGGATAGTTGTAACGCCGAAATATATCTTCAAATGTATTAGGAGCTCCATCAGTTATTATCATAATGGCTTGATTGCACTGAGTTCCTAAACAAGACTTGTTGTACTGAAATATATTTAGGATTTAAGAATACAGACAATATAAAAATTCAGTCAAAAATTTTCAATCTGAAAACATGCAAAACAACATTTCAAACATGTAAAACATTATACATTTTTTATAAAGAATGATTCTATACAGTTACACAATATAAGATGTTAAAAACATATTAAATATAATAAAGATGCAAATGTTCTTAAATTATCATGAAGACGTTTCTTTTAATTTCACTAAATTATCAACAATATATTTCATTCAACTTAATTTCAATTATCAAATATATATAGGTATTTATAGGTATATTATGAATTAAAGGTCCAGAGGAAAAATAATGCTTTAAATTATTAAGAAGTCTATTTATTGCTTTTAAATTGCTCAGTTTTGTTAATCAATAACATACTGACTGAATTTGGAAGAAAAATGAGAGCTTATGTCTTACTGAATGGCAACAATAAGAAATATCTATGTATGAGGGTTCAAGGAAGGTAAAGGCCTTTTCTTTGGTGTAGGCAACCTCTGCCAAGACACATGAATAGTAAGTGCTATTTCTAGATTCTTTCTGCTGTTTCTTTGCTAGTTTCCAAGTCATGATAGTAACTACAGATTTTATTTTGCCATTATATAATTAACAATAATGCCTCTTCAAGAAATTACTGCTTAATTTTTATATTTTTACTTTATGATTATGATAAAAAGGGTAAGAACAACTGGAAAGAATTAACTTTTAAATGACAGTACAATGAGTGTTAATCTGAACAGCAAAGAAAATTACCCAAAATTTTGTTAGCCCTTTCTGGCACTCTACCTTTTAAATTTGGAATTTCGATTAAAAAAAAAGGGTAGGCACTCTAATTAGGCCTAGAGGAGTATACAAGTAAAATTTTGCGAAAATAGCACTTATCATTTTAATTCTGTGGGTGTGCCGAAGTGGGCACACTGATTAAATACAGCTTCGAAAAGAGTGCTGAAACGAGCACCGCTGGGAAGCGAGTAAAAGAGTAAAAGAATTTACCAATGATTAAAAACACTAGATTCTGAATACCATAGCAGATTTAGCATTATCCAGGGTGTGGCACAGGGAGACCTTCTATTCTAGCCCCCTAAAAAGCTCGTTTTTGGTTATATGATGATTACATGCGCATGAATTGGGAAAAAAAAAAAGTAACTTGTATATGATATTTACATTATTTACATTTCATATTTACACTTTAGTCTATTTTTTTCATGGTGGTATTTTTCGAAGAAAGTGACACCACCTTTGGGAAAGCACAGCCCAATATTGCATGTTTTGCACATGAACCAGGATCCATATCAGATTCACTATATGAAAGCAATTTGTGTAACACTCTTAGTGCTTCAGAAAGGGTCAGCTCTCTTTAATCCGTTTGGAAAATAATAAAAAATAAAAAATAAATAAATAAATAAATAAATAATATTATATCTAAATTAGAAATTATAAACTATAAAATAAAATTAAATAAACACCTACAACCGAAAACTATTAAACAGCACTAGCGAAATTTTGAACAAAAGCGAAAAAAAAAAAAAAAAAAAAAAAAAAAAAAAAAAGAACTGCCCTAGTGAAAAACCAAACAGCTAACTGATAAAATTACCCTTGACCTTCAGAAAATCCCCCAACAATTTGTTAGTTGATAACCAAATGTCCCCTCCAAGGGGGAAAAAAAAAAAAGAGAGAGAGAAAGAGAAAAAAAGAAAGAGAAAAACAGGAAATGAAACACAGATGTGGACCCACCTTTTTGTTGTCAATGAACTGATGAGATGTGGAGAAATAAAGAATATAGTCTCTCAGTTGTCCTAAAGTCTCAGTGAGCCCGCTATGGGAATATCTGAGGTTCACCGTTCGATTTTAGGCAAGGTTTCACAGTAAAAATTTAAAACTATTATAGAATAAGGAGATTAGCATACAGCCAAAAAAAAAAAATAACATAGAAATTTCTTTTCAAACAATTCCTTTCATACCCTATAAAAAAAAAAAAAAAAATCTGGAAGATTTCTTTAAAGAATGAGGGTCTTAAAAAACTAAACATGGCTAGAATATATGGACTAGTTTGTGTTGAGCTGCCAACAACTATAAATAAAGAAGGTTTAGAGCAACCTATAAATCCTTTTTCATTCAATTTTTCTGTGCGTACAGAAGGAAATTTTTAGGTGTGCCCAAACCAGGCACACCGTGCTGCAAAGGGTTAAAGATGAGATCTGAAGTAATCTGAAGATTATGAATTCATGTTATGAATGATTTGATGAAAGATATAACTTAATGAAATTTTGTGAAATCTAACTCATGGGGTTTTCTGTATTTTCTATGTTAACAAAACATAGAAAGAGAAAATTTATGAATAGAAGGGTAATCTTTAACATGAGGGTGCAAGATAAACTGCAAGCACGAAATCACATTTTTTAATTGAATAGATGTTGATATATGGTGTTGCATTGGTAATTCAGGAGGCTACTACTACTTATTCAAATCAGTAGCTTATTAAGAGATAGATTATGAAACTTTATCACAAAATATTAAAAACATACAGTGGTTAATTATGATATAAACAAGACCGCAGCACCTATGTTGGAATTGGGAATCTATAACTTATTTCTAAAATGTTTAACCAATATAGGTATTGAAATATAATTGAAGGACTCAAAATGAATTCCACTTTTTACTTACTCTTTGCAACAACTCAAAAGCTGTAATTAAACTCAGTGTGAAATTTGCAATATTTGACGTGTCCATTTTCTTCATATGTTTCATAAACTCCTAAAAGATATACATCATAAAATCTAAACAGATATCACACGCAAAAAAAGGAAAAAAGGTACATTTACAAAACATTTAGAGGAAACTCAGCTTTTGGATATTTATTGATGTAACATAATTAATTTTACTCAAATACTCTATGAATATAATGTTGACTCTTTTTTTTTTTTTTTTTTTTTTTTTTTTTTCCCACACTTAAGCATTATAATGAAGAGAAATTTCTCTTGTTTCATAAAACTGAAAATATTGAATGCACATGTATCTACATGATCTACTTCGTTAAACAAAACAAAAAAACAATAAAATAAAATAAAACATTTCAGAAATGTTTAGCAGAAATATATACATTTTGAGAAATAAAAGCAATATATTGCAATTCATTCCAATTAAAGGCAAGCAGAAGGTTATCAGAAAATGAAAATTATAAGGTATTTTAAATATTAATGAATACATGTAATTAAAGTTATTTAAAATTATTTTATGAAACAGTAAGCAACTACTTTTCTGTTAGATGTGCAATCACATTCCAAATTATTAAAAAACAATTTTTATTTATATGGTTGTCATTTGTTTGATAGCCACTATATGCATTGATGTAGAATTATTAAAAAGCATAATAAGAAAACTTGCTTTCCTCAGAGTGCAATATATTATATTATATTAGGACATTTAGTTTTACTATAATTACAACCGACTTAAAAAAATAACTGTGATTAAAAACGTTTTACAAGAAGATTTACAGAAACAAAAATGAACAGCAAGATAACTTTTGAATTGCTTAACCAATTACAGAATAGCTGAACTTTTTACAATATAATTTTCGACTGAAGAAAACTACTTTGGTACTTGATTATAATTTCATTAAATGCACTTAACACAAATATGTAAATGGATAACTTCTACATATTTCTTAAAAAAAGCATTTGAATGCATACATTACAATAACAGGATGCAAAAAAGTAATGATAAATATGAAACTTTTTTATGAAACAAAATTGCTAAAGGAGACACATTTGTTAGACAGCCAATGCACAAAGCTGAAGTTGTGTACAATGTTTGTACAATTCTCTTATTTTTTAAGCAAACACAGGTTGCATTGCACATGGAAAGAATAATGCCAAAAAAAAATTATAACTGTTTTACTGAATGTATCATACAATCCTTATTCAATAATTAAAATTTTTGCTTAAATTGCTCAACTGAGCTTTCTTTTGATATATTGGTAATGTTTTCCAACTTATGAAACAAATTACTATTTTGGGAATTTCTTAAAATAAGTCAAAATCGCCAGCTTGCAACAGATAAGTAACTTTTACCTTTTCTTCAGCACAAAATTGTTAAATTGTGGCAAGGAGGTGACTGCATTAGTATATAAGCACTTTTTATTGTTTCGGATGAACTTAAAGTTTTCCCTGATGCATCTTGCTGCATGGTTTCAGATACTATTGGAAACACACATATCATGTCTAATGACAACAGAATCCAAGACTATGGAAGTGTTTTTGTTTTAATAATGCCTTTGTAGCATTCAGAATATGTTTTTTCTTGGTTTTCTATGACCAAGATAGAAAAAAAAAATTCTTTGTTAAATTTGTTGTCAAACTGGAATGAGCCTGAATCTCTAGGCATATATAATTCTTCAGCAATCATCTTGAATAAAACTTTTTCACTAACAGCAATAGTTCTGCATACTGTTTCAATTAGTTAATCAGTGGTTGCAGTTTTTGGATAGCCTAACCTTCACACCATGTCTTAAGATGCTCACAGTACAGTCAAAAGTCGTTAACTCGGACACCCATAATCCGGAATGATCTATAATCCGGACCTCAAAGCTACAAACTTTCTGCGCATGCGTCGCGTTCACGCATGCGCACAGGCGTTTACGAGAGCGCGTAAGACCCTACGGCTGCGAATATGTTTGTGCGCATGCGCGTTTAAATTGTAACGGAGTTATACGCTAAGCTAAAGTTATGTAATTCAGTTAATGTTGCCGATTGCGTTGTTCCTTAATCTTCGAATTGGATCCCGCTTATTATTTTTTGCAGACTATTAGAGCAATTTTATAAAAGTAAGCTTGAACTTTCGATTATGTCAAATAGAATTTCCGATATATATTTACTACAAAGCGAAAGTATGTTTTGAAATCTGAAATCTGTTTATCAATTTCACGCTGCTCTGCGGCAGAGGGGGGGCAGAAACGTCATTATTAGATTATGATAGATTAGAAAGATTATGTCAAATAGAATTTCCGATATATATTTACTAATACAGTAAGACCCCGCTTAACGCTGTTTCGGTTTAGCGCTCTTTTATTTCAACCCGGGGATTCTCCGAAATTGTGCGCAGCGCTAGGTTTCCAAATAACATATCCGAAACAGTGTAATTGTGTTTTTTGCTTTGTGGACGCATTTTTATCATTTGAAACATTTGTTGACATTATTGTAAGTTTAAATTTGTATAATACTATAACGATTAATACAGTGACAAATATTATGATCTTTAGGTTTTTATCATGGGTGATAATAAAAAACAAGAAAAGAAAGCAACCAGAAAAAGCATTTCACTGGAAACTCAAATGCAAGTGATTAGAAGATTAGATTCTGGTGAACGTCAATCTCAAATTAGTGCTGCATTGATTTTGGCAACTTCAACAATAAGGACAATTCTTAAGAATAAAGAAAAATACTGTCATCGGCAACTGCAACTACGTCAAGCTTTGCAAGTAGAATTACCCGTACTAGAAATAACATTATAGAGGAAATGGGAAAACGACTGTCTATATGGATTGACGACGAAATTGAACGCAATATGCCATTAAGCCAATCTATCATAATGCCTTCTTGACAAAAAGGCAGAAAATTAGAACCCAGAATAGACTGAATGATCTGACTGAGAATTTTATTTGTTTTTAAGTATATGCGCTTATATTGTTTTTATTTTTGTAAGAAATAAATGTTTGATTTTATTTTTATTAAAAAAAACATTATTAAATTTAATGCCTAACCATTTTTTATCCGTCTTCCCCTAACCCCGTTATTTACATGTTAAGACAGCCTCGCTTAGCGCTGTTTCGCATTACGCTCTACTTTGATGGAACGTATCCCCCGCGTTAAGCGCGCGGGGTCTTACTGTATGTAATTTGTATCTGCAAAGCGAAAGTATGTTTTGAGATCCGAAATCTGTTTATCAATCTCATGCCGCCGCGGATTGGAAGTTGATCTGTCAGCACTATCCTTATCTTCAGGGCAGATGTTTTTATTTTATTTGGTTTATAATTCCATACTAAGTGTAGTATTGCATTCTGTCTTTGATATGATTTAAATCAAGTTCCTCGTCATTATAATTCGCTTCCGATAGTGAAGAAAGTGACCCAGAGGTTATTGAAAACGAAAACATTTCGATTGACAAATTAGTCCGTATTCTCAACACAGCAAATATAGGACTTGAACAGCGGAACTTTGTAACTAAACAAGAAATTATGTCTGTTTAATAGAATTAAAGAGAAAGTATTATCACATGAAACAAAGCAACTTACATTGAAGCAAATGTTTAATAAAGTAAACAAATAAATATTAAGCTTTTTCTTTTTGTAAATTTTGATACCCTTTAGATCATAATTGTTCTTTATTTCATAAATTACGGTTTCATATTTTTAATTTTGTAATTTCTGCATGCCATCTTACCAGATTTAAACTGATGATCTATAATCCGGAAAAATCGATAATCCGGAATCGCCGAAGTCCCGACGAGTCCGGATTAACGACTTTTGACTGTATATGAAATTTTATACAATGGACAACTATGGCCATAAATTTACAAATCAAAGTATGTGTTTCTGTAAAAGTTGTATCAAGTTTAAAACAACATTACTCACATATTAATGCAACTACCATGGTACAATTTGGCAATTTTTTGCAAAGCTATTTATCAGGTGTCAGCTGGTGGTTTTCATGCATTTTTTATAAAGATTCCCAAACTATCGATATTCATCATAAGTCAGTAAACACATGAAAACAGTCAGTAAACATATGAAAAGAAAACATACTTTAACAATTTAAAATATAAATTTGAATTATTAAGGAAGAATTATGTGATACATTAAAAAAATAAAACATTTACATTCTTCTTCAAATCTTTCTGGAATTCTTTTAAGCTAGTCTTCTTCAGAAGTACACAGCAATCTGCTGTGCACAGCAATTTGTTTAAAAAAAAAATCAGAGAATTGCTGATACTCGACTGCAGATATCCATGCAAACTTTGGCAACAGTGGCTATCCAGGAAATGTAGTTTTTCAGTGTTCCCTTTAGAAAATTTTCAGAAAAATTCTGTATTCTTGCAGAAATTTTACAGCAGTTTCTTCCCTTGCTGGCAAATTTCACAAACATATATTTTAAAACTAAGTTTAAAACAAAAAATATCACAAATTGTTTATAAAAACTATTGGAACTTGGAATGGAATGCATACAAGAATGGTGGAGTTAGAATTATGTGATACATTAAAAAAATAAAACATTTACATTCTTCTTCAAATCTTTCTGGAATTCTTATAAGCTAGTCTTCTTCAGAAGTACACAGCAATTTGCTGTGCACAGCAATTCATTTAAAAAAAAAATCAGAGAATTGCTGATACTCGACTGTAGATATCCATGCAAACTTTGGCAACAGTGGCTATCCAGGAAATGTAGTTTTTCAGTGTTCCCTTTAGAAAATTTTCAGAAAAATTCTGTATTCTTGCAGAAATTTTACAGCAGTTTCTTTCCTTGCTGGCAAATTTCACAAACATATATTTTAAAACTAAGTTTAAAACAAAAAATATCACAAATTGTTTATAAAAACTATTGGAACTTGGAATGGAATGCATACAAGAATGGTTGAGTTGCTCAACTGAAGGACTATTATAAGTATGGTTGCCAGAAGAATGGTAATGTGCATAGTTGGCACATTGTGAAAATTTAGGAACTTCTCCTAAGATGTTGCATTGATAAGAAAGTACCCAAACAAAAGTTCTTGGTCATATGTTGCTTCAATCTGATTTCATAAAAATGTGCCAATTAGTATTTTTATCCATATTTCACAGGAAATATTTATTCTGTTTTTTCCAAAATTTTAACATAGTATTCAATTAAATAACATATAGCAACAATAATATTTTAAAAACATATTATTTAATATTCTAATAAACATCACTGTTTTGTATCATTTAAATCTCGCACAGGAGAAGCAATACGTGTCAAAATATCAAATATCATGCTTCAAGTGCCAATTTTTTTTTTTTTTTTTTTTTTTTTTTTTTTTTTTTTTACTTACAAGACATAAATATATATGTCAACTAATCAAACTCTGTATATTCTGAGGGAAAATAAGCTATTCATACCCTTGAAGAAAAGGGAACTGCTGATAATGCCAATCTAAACAATCTGACAGTCTTTTTTCTACGATCAGTGTTGTGCAGGAGAAACATAGATATGACAAACCTACTTGATCAGCATGCTGTTATTGTTGATGGCATAGGTTGTGCCCATGTGAGGTAAGAAATATAATTTTAACAACTTTTGAGGCTATACCATTCTTTTATGAATACTCTTTATGTGCCCTTTATCAGATATCACTGCCTCTCCCCCAGGAGAAAACTTACAATTACATGTACAACAGAAAATCATGTCACTGGCTTCGAACAGTATTTAACTAGTCATCAATCTTTACTTATGTGAGTTTGTCTATTGTTTTCTTCATTGCATAACAGCTCAGATGTTGAGCCAAGGGTTGTGCAAAAACATCACAGTTGGGCGAAAGACACAGTTTGAAATTTAAGCCATACAGTTGTAGGAAGTGGCCATATGCAACTGTAACCGTAACTTAGTTATATAAAGAAAAAGCACCATCTAAATGAACAGGCAGAGAAGAATGCATGGATATGATAACGTAACAATTCTTCTTCTTTTCTTATCATTTTTAATTTGTGTAAATAAGTCATAATTTAGTAATAACGCGATGAGTACTAGTGATGTTTTTTTTCCAAAATAACAAACTTACCCGAACATTTTCTTCAGTAGCTTGGACAAGGGAATTTTCAAAACATGGAACAATTGGAGTAATCTCTTCAGAAAACTAAAGAGAAGGGTTAAAACAGACATATTTCATTAATGACACTTATTCTAATAATAAATGAAAGCTTTTCTATTTATTATAATATGGGGTTTTAAATAACTTAACTTACTCTAAGGACAGTTACAAAATCATCTTCCGTAAGTGTAGCAAGTATGTCTGCAACGACATTCCGTGCAATTTCTTTTCTAATGCCAGTCATAGACCCACTACCATCAACAAGAATAACTATATCTTTTGCTGAGGCAGCAGCTTTGACATACCTAATGAGGATTACAGAGATATATATAACATATTTATGAAAGTTCATGTATCTTTTTGAAATCCTTACTAAAAATTTTTAAAAAATTAAAACACTGTGGGAGAGGAACTAAAAAAGGAACAATACATACAAAGGAAATACAAACATACAAAATACATACAAAGGAAAAGCAAATCACATAGGCAAAAATGAAAAACTGAATTACTGTTTATAAAATAAATAAATAAATAAACAAATAAATAAATAAAATAAATAAATAAATTTTTTAAAAAAACCACTTTTCCGTATACAGTTTAAAACAGGACAGATGCTTAAATTAATGTTACATGTAGAAGACTGTTAAAAATATCTAGAAGTTCACAAGTTTGGTAAAATTAATTAAATTTAGAATATTTTAGGCAGTCAAATTATTTAAGTTGATCTATAACAAATAAACTGATAAAAAGATATTTGAAAAAAAAAACTCTCACCAAGAACGTGTACGGCAGTCATATAAATCAGGTTTTTCTCTACCTTCTTGAGTCCACACTGTAGCTAGAAATAGAAAAATATACATATAATTTATTTTTGGCAAAATTATTGCCTCAAAAATAATAAAAAGAGATTTTTCATTCCATTGAGAATATTTCTAATCATATTAATTTTCAAAGTTCAGCCAGTCATGATGAATAATATAACAGAAACTAAACATATTGTATAAAAATCATAATTAAAAAAACCATACAATTATTTTGATTTAAATCAAATTTTTAAAAAATGTAAATTAACATTTTGCCTCTAAAATATTTTCGTTAAAGAGTCACACCTTAAGTCAGTACTAATTAGCGTAACAGTTTTACGTCATAATAATCAAATATTAAAGCACGTCATGTTGCAAACCACATTAAACAGATAAACATTTTCTAAAGCCTATAATGGTAAAATATCTAAACAGCAAGCTGTAAAAAAATAGATAAAAAAAAAAAAAAAAAAGGAACAGCCATAACACATATGATTATTTATTCTTATTTTTACTTCACTTATCAAATGCTAGTAAATATCATTTATATTTAGTGACTTGAAAAAAGCATAAGCTTTGAAGCTTTCTTAAATCCTAATTGTCAATTTCTTGTGCACCAGCTCCATTTTTGGAAATAATTTTTAAATATCAGTAGATATTGCCTCAGCAGATATCAGTAGATTTGAATAAAGTTTCACCAACACTTAGCTCTTTTACTCTTTTAAGCCTTTTTGATACATTTATACTGCATCAATTCTCTTAGATGTTCTCCATTTCCTAGAGAAAAACACAAATATTCATCTGACATTCTCCATCTTTAACATTTTTTACTCATACTAAACTCTTCAATTCATTGATTTGGACCTTCCACCAGAAACTCACCTTATTCGTCGACTGATGGTGGCCACTTAATATTTTTGGCATGTTTTGTCTGCACTACTCATTTTGTTTTACTGATGGTCTTCGCCAGATGCAGAGTAAAAGGAAGCACTGCTTTCTGAAACTCTAATTCACCTTATTCATCGACTGATGCCGGCCACTTAATATTTTTTGGCATGCTTTGTCTACATTACTCATTTTGTTTTATGGATGGTCTTCACCAGATGCAGAGTAAAAGGAAGCACTGCTTTCTGAAACTCTAATTCACCATATGTTCTTAGTAGTAGTAGTCCAAACTTTCTTTGCAATAGCTTGAATTTTTGGCCTATGGGCAGAGAGATTTAGCGGTTGCACTGTCTGTTTATTTTGTGCTCAATTTTCTCATTTCTACTAGTGACTGTGTGGTAGGTGCTTGCGGTTTTTGTGTCAGTTACATGAAGCTTACCAGCCAAAACGGTGAGGTCAATATTTCCATTTTTTCCCCTCATCTTCCATGCATTTCTCAGATGAAGCATAAACTTTAAAGCTTTCTCTAACTTAACTGTCAATTTATAGTGCACCAGTTCAATTTTTGGAAACAATTTTTAAATATCAGTAGATACTGTTACAGTTGTGAATAAATTCACCAACACTTAGTTTTTGTTCTCCTTTGGGCTCTTTTGCTGCATTTATTGGCTTCCAACATTTTAGTGCAACCACTGTTTGTGAAGCCTTTACATAAAATAGTGAAATGAATTATTGAAGGATATGAATTCAAATACAAAACTTAACATATCTAATAAACCACTATCTCCCTGTTATCAAAATTCTACAGCATTTTTTTATTTGGTTAAAAAACAAGGTAAAGTATGCTATATCTGAACATACAAAGTTTTGTTTATAACAGGTGATTAATATTATGATTTACATCAATAAAATTAATATAGCAAGTAAAATCCTTGACACTTTCGATGAAAATAAACACAAGTTTATGTTATATTTTCAATTCTTATGCTATAAATTTATTGCAAATTTATCCAAGTACATTTGTTCTGCAGGCATACTTCACATAGCAAAAATTATGAAATAATCCACTTTTAATCATCTTAAGAAAGAACAAAAGCTGTGAAATGATCTCTAAATTATTTCACTCAATTCACTTAAAACAATTTATTGAATGCAATACACTTTTATCTATTACAACTCTACAGATTTATTTTATCCTTCTTTAAATCTTCTTTTGCATGCATGAAATTTTAAGCAAATCAGCACTTCAACTTTCATTTACATTATGGCAGATGGGAAAAAAGTTGCATCAGATTCATTATTTTGGGTGAGAAGAATTATTACCATATTTAAAATAATATGACTACAGGACAAGAAAAACAAAAATGACAGCAACAAGTCCCATATCCAAAAGAATAATCAACATGCAATATTAGTAAGTTTTAAATAGGTGCATCTAGCAAAAGGCATATCAGAGAATTTTTCACACTGCAATTAGTGAATCAAAACATGTGTGCACATAGAACAACCAGCTCACTCTATTGACATCACACCAATTTACTTGAGAATAAAATCCATACTATATTTCAAACACTGATAATTTCAAAAAATCACTAATGAATTCGCTCAAATTCAGAATGAATTGCATGTCAGTACATGCAAATGTGTCACTTATCATTTTCGATTTTGAGGGCAAAATGGTTGACCATTATGCTGAAAAAATGTAAATTTTAAAAATATACAACAGAAACAGATTTACAATATTTATTTCCATTTGTTATAAAGGTACAACTCTGATATACGCCTAATTTCACCAAATGCGGCGATATGTGTTCTGCGCTGGTTTTTGGTGCAATTGCGTGTTCTATGGCAACCCTGTTGACGTTGAAAAATCTTTCACTGGAGCTCATTGATTCGCATCTGTGTCTGAGAAGATGGGAGGGAAAGATAAAATGGCAGAAGTTGTTCAATTGAAGTTCGGCAAAAGGAAATATCATTGTGGCCAATCTGTGAGGGGTTAGTGGGTATTGGAGATGTGGAAAGAGGTCTGGGAGATTATTTTAATGACTGTGCATGATAGAAGAGGAATTTGTGATTTTTTTTTGTGAACATAGTATGAATTTTGGATAGTGGTGGTGTCTTGTAAATACGATAGTGATACGTGGCGGCATGTAAAGGCAGATGAAATTGGTATTTCAGCTGTTCGAAAAAAAGCATTAATTCATGATAAGGCGTTTTATTTATCTTGTTCTTTTTTGTAGAATGTTTGTTCATTGGTTATTTAGTATAAATTTATGTCATTATTGGTTTTTTTTTTTTTTGAATTTTTTGAAATTTATTTTAGTTATTTTTTGTTTAGTGTTTAGACTGTGCATTCGTAGATGTTTTTAAAGTTGAACAGAACGCGTGTACAGGTATATTGAGATTTATTGTTGTCGTTATGTTATTAAAGCGAGGTTGCGTAGCTCGTAGATTCGTTCTTGCCTAAAATGTGCAATTCGTAAGGTTTTTTAAGTTTAAACAGGATGATGGACATAGTATTCTTTGAAATTTAGTTGTTATGTTAATTTATAAAGCGAGGTGCCAAGTTCGTAGCTAAATTGTGCAACTAGAGATGTTTTTTTTTAAATTTAAACAGGATGCTGTCATGGTATTCTTTGAAATTTATTGTTGTTATGTAGTTTATTAAAGCGAGGTGTGCGTAGTTTGTAGATTCGTTCGTGCCTACATTGTGCCATCACATATGTTTTTTTTTTTAAAGTTAAAAATGTCGTGTGTACATGGATTCTTGTCAAATTTTTTGGTTAGAAAATTTCGTTTTTGCTATCTAAGTTTTCTGTTTTTGTTGCGGATTTTTAGCTTAAATCGTGTGTCAAACAAGTTTTGCTGTGCGAAAACCGCATTTTTGGAGACATTTTAGGCTTAAAGTTCGAAATATAGACAAAAAATTTAGATAGTAATATGGCAGCATGAAGTTTCTTGCCAAAAATATTTGGTGAGAAATTTGGCGACTTGAGGGCGCATATCAGAGTAGTTTCGCTATAAATTATACTTTTCATCATATTTTTAAACACATAGTCTTAATAATGATATAACTATTTACATACCATCAAGTATAACTTAAGATCATATTAAATGAACTAATGAACTAATGAATGCATAAAATTTTCTAAATTAAGAAAACTATACTTCTCTATTCTTTTAGAAGTGACATTTTTAATGTGCTGCTATTGCCAGTTCTATGCTTCATTCAAAATATTAAAAAACGTTCATCAAATAAAGGTATTATTAACTCCCTTACATGGATCTCATCCTTAATAGTTACAGATAAAACAGACAATAATACTGACTTCTACATATTTTATAATTGTGAAGACTAAAAATAAACCAGAGAGACTGTAGAGTCAGAAGCAGAAGTCAATGCTGATTACCGTATTTGTAATTAATCTCCTGCTATCATATAAATTCTTTATTAATATTTGTAAATATTAATAAAGTATGCTGTTTTGTTAAAAGGAAGCCTGCCATTTTTAGTCGCCTGTACTTATGAGTTCACATTAGAAAATATTTCTGTCAGCCGCCCACCAAGAAGAAGAGTTTACATTTTGACATATTCTATTGATCTTCTAAATAATTAGCGGTGCCATTGGGTGGGCGACTTAAAGGATTTATTTATTGTATAATTATAAATATATGATTATTTACAAACTCTAAAAATGGAGGGGTTTAAACAAACTACGTGCTCCTTTAAGAAGTGTTTTACATGAATATCTATTAAACTGGTAGACTCTTTAAGAAAAGAAGTACATGATATAGAAGAAATCGAAATCCTAATGACACAGTTAGAAGAAAAATGGTCGGAGCTTGATTTGATAGAAAACAAATTATAAAATTGTTATCTGATGATCCTAAATGTTCTCAAAGTGATTTTGATAAAGAATACAAGGGTAGTACGATATATAGAGAAAAATATGTGAGGCTTAGAACTAAGATACAAAAAAATGAGTAATACTAATTCAGAGGATAATGGTACTCTTAATGCTACAGTTCAAAACCGAAAGTTTAAACTGACAAAAATGGAATTTAAAAAATTCAGTGGTGATGTTAAGGAATAATCCACTACCAGAAAAGCTCCTTGTGTAGGTTCTTCTTTTTATTACTTTCCTTTCCACAGCCTTTGTAGTGTCTTTATTGTGTATTCATTGCACAAGACACTATATTCAAGTTACATGACACTTTATTTACACAAAACACATGATCACTACATATAAAAGCTTACAGCTCCATGACCGGCATTTCAAGCCTCCTTTCCATTTCCTATCACTTTGCGATGTTTGGTGAGTGCCAGCTCTAAGTTTGATTAGGATTAAATTATCGATATACCAAACCTTCAAGTCCAAATTATCCACAATTAAATGCAATGTTTGAAAGGCATATTCAAACTATCAAGCAGATGTTAGAAAAAGTTATAGTTGACAACAAGGATCCATATTTAGTCATACTGGAATAATGAAGCATCTTTCTTTCAGCTGAAAATATTTTCATTAATACGTTCAGAATCATTTTTTTTTTTTTTTTCAGAATTTCAGAAACATTGATACTTCCAGAATTTGGAAGAAAAGTTAGTGGAACGATGCACATAAAAGAGAATTTCATCCAAATAAAAGCAACATTTACTGAAGAAAGAAGCATTACAGAAAAGTTATTTTGATACGAATACAAGACTATTAAAAATCACTGAAGTAAGAGATGATGCATACATAAATGTGAAAGGGCAAAACTGAAAGAAAGTGGAAAAGTCATAGGAAAAGCAGAATACCTGTTTGATACAGGATTACTAAAACATATTGAAGAAAGGAACAGAAGAGACAAGAACTAATCAGAAAGACTTCATAATGCAGAGTAGTTTTCAGAATGAAAGCAATGAAGGTAAACAAGTGAATGAGAATGAATTTGATATTAGTTGGAATTCTCTAAATTTAGATAAACAAGTAAATTTTCTTGCACATAACAGTATAAGTATTGTGTCACCAAGTTCTGAATATTGTTATGTCACCAGATTCTACAAACAAATATAAGTATGCTACTCAGTTTGATAGAACTGTTAAAAAACTGTATTATTTAAAAGAGTATATATAATATTTTTATTTCTGTCAAAAAGATAGCCACATATGGAACTTCAACTGTAATATAATATATACAATTATAAGTGTAATATAGAATTATAGCTAGTAGTAGTGTCGAATAAACAATGTTCCACGGATATCATGTAATCTTTATTACCTACTTTATTAATAACATATAAATAACATTACAGTTTCAAGTAACAATCTCTCTTTTTGAAGAAAAAATTATTCTGCTAGAAGAATTTTGTTCTTTTCTTGAAGAGGAATGACCTATATCAATCTATCTGAAAATTTGATGGGCCTGTTTCTAAAATTAGTGCTAATCTAAACCTGGATTTTATCTACTTTTAAAAAGGAATTTTATAAAATACTTTCATTTATATACTAATAATTCATTTTCAAGCATTTTGCCATAAATAATTTCACACATTTATGTTGGTAATTAATTTTAAAAATTAGCAAAAGTTTTCAGAGATAAGATGCAAATTTTAAGTCACTACTTAAAAAAACATAATCAGAGTTACTTACCAGGATATGTTCGTAAAAAACCAGTACTGCTACCAAAATATTGCCAATTTAGAGTCGGATCTGCTGCCAAATTATTTCCAAATGTGGGAGTGAGATACTCAGACCACTTAATAGCATTAAGCACTTTAGGGTCTGGAGAAAAATGAAGAGTTAATGGTTATACAAAATGACTCAATGTTAATTAAACACAAGCATTATATGAAAGGAATATGCTGAAATGCATACCATTAATAAACATTGATAATGTAATGTAGACATACACAAAAAAGAATAATGATAATTGGCAAAACTTTGTTACAATGACTTATAACCATGACTGACCAATAAGGATATATATAAAAACAAAATAACACAGTGATGCTGGGTTGAAAACAAAGAATACTGGATAGGGAGCTGTGGGCATTAAGCTTGCTAAAAAGCGAGATGATACTTATGCACATATTTAAATATAACATGGATAAAAGTGTAAAAGGATAAAAGAAATTTTCAATGGTATTTTTGAATACTTTAGTTTAAGAAGATAACTTTCTCCCTGGTAAAATTATTGAGCTTCTCGTAAAATGGTAAAAAATGATGAAATAAATAGGATTTAGTAACATTTTGAATTACATCAGATTGTTGCTGAAATATTAATTTAAAAGCATATAGCAATAATCTTTGGTTAGAGTAGATTGAAGGGTGCTCCTTGGATTATCACTAAGTTGTTGTTTCATTTATGGTAACCTGAGCAGTTGACTGCTATGGACACCCTATTATGATGTAATTGGTTGTGTGATTGTGGTGAATTTAAATGATGGGATGGATTTTGGTGCATTGTTATTTTGCGGTTTACATGGTAAAATGGCTGAATGTTATAAAATTAATTAAGTTTCTGTACAATTTCGAGCAAAAGGGAAAAAAGCATTAATTGACTGGTGTGTGAATGAAGGTTTACTTAGTTGCCATTATAAGTGTCCTGTTTGTAGGAAGGAAATGCGTATAGTCAAACGTCGGAGGATACCTGCACTACAGAGGATATTTTTTATTCTTATTTTTGTGAATTTACGTGGTGACACCAGTATACAGATAATTTTAAAAAGTTTTTGGGTGAAAGAATTTTGCTTGGCTGGAGACAGGAAAATTTGTAAATAAGGTAAGTGGATGTTTCCTTTGTGTAGTGCTATGATGAATTTCCTTTTTTATTTTATTTTATTGTTTGATTTAAAATGTAGTTTATTAAGATTATATATTTTTTGTTGGCTGTGCCTTTGCTTTTTCAAGTGAATATAGATCAATGTGTACATGGACAAAGGTCAAGGGAGAGGGCAAAGCCTAGTTTGTGAAATTCTCTGTTTTTTTTTTTTTTTTTAAGCGAAAATAGGTCGGGGTGTACATGGATACCGAATTTGTGCAATTCTTTGACTTGTTATTTTTAATTTGCGTAGTGGTGATTTTTGACTACACAAAGCCAAAATAACAAGTCAAAGAATTGCACACACTCGGTATCGCCCATTATTGCCAAGGGCACCGGTAAATATATTTTTACCTTATCTTTTTCTGATATATGAAGCTAAAGATGTTTACAAAAACAAGAGATACCTTGATTGTATATTTATCAGTGTTGATATTATCCCACATTTTGAAGACATTTATTGCTAACATATATATTTACACTTTTGTTAGACTCACTTCAGATAAACTAAAAATTACTTCCATAAAAATAAAAACTAATGTCTAATGGTATTTAAGAATTAAGGTTGTGTATTGGAAATAATTTTAGTAAAATGTTCTTTACAATCCACAATAAATTAAGCACATAAAATACACTATTTCATAATTATTCAGACTAATATCATGAAAGTTTTCACAGCTTTATTAGTAATATTTCGTGACATTAGTCTTAAATTGTTCTGCTTCTAATATCAATATAAATTTTAGGTAAAACAATGCCACAATGCTCATACAGATAATGAAAAAATCCTTATTGTAATATTTGGCAATTTCTTGTTAATGTGGTCACCGCAAATGCTTTGATGATATTTAAAATAAATGTGGTGAAAATTACAGGAAAACTATGAGAACTTTCAAAAAATTAAAAACTGCAATTTAAGGAGGAAAATAATATTTATTTATTTTTATAGAGGCAATAATTTGGCAGCTGCTGCTATTACAGTATCAAATATTGGTACTTTCTGATTTTTACTCATATTTAATTGTCTGTTGCAGCATTTGATGAAAGTTAGTTCTTCAGCCCAACAGTATGTGAAGTGCAAAGCATTAAGAAAGCAAATCCCAGAAATATAAAATAAATTATTGGTATGAAGATTTTTTGGCCCTACAAGTTTTTCACTATCTCCAAATAACTTTACTTCTCAATAAATTGGTGGCTACTTCTGCACTTTAGCTCAGTATGCAAAATAATGCCTTTGATGAGAAAAATCACTGCTTCTTTTCCAGTTCATGGTTAACTTAAACATAGCTTACATTGTAGAGGGAACAAAATAATGAAGAATACAAAAGAATGAACAATATCATGAAGAAAATCTGTTTATTTTCCATTTGATGGAAAGTTAAAAATGATCAAAATATTTTAGGAAAGAAAAAATAATGAAGAAACAATATTGTGAGGTTTAAATTGAGCATGAAAATCAAATATGGTACATGTTATAAATATCACAACAAAAAAAAATTACCGTTTCTTTTCCAGACTGAATATAAATAAAAAATAGTAAACATTTCAAAGGGAAAAAACACTGAATCGATGATATCATGTGGAGAACTTCATAATCAAAAGTCTGAATATTAAACAGGTTGCATATCCACCATTAAGTTTGCCAAGTTCTGGTGACTAATATTCAAATTTTGGCAATTAGTAGAGGTGGCAGCTTTAACAAGGAAGTACCTTATAGTTTTACAATTAACAAACAATTATTTAGTAAACAACCAATACTTTACTATCCTTTTGAACTTATGTCTTTTTAACTTTAAAAAAGCTACGATGTTTCATACTAGTTGCAGTTAACCATATTTTACCTTCTAATCAATATTTTGACCATTTTTTGGTTAACTTTTGTTTACCATAGTTTTTGCAAATTTAATATATGATTTATAAATGATTACTGGACACAGGATCTTTACATAACTTACTGATGCAATTTAAAAATTAAAGCTGCATTTTAAATTCTTAAAACCTTTGTCACACATTTAAGATATTCATTGATTTATGTAGGTTGTTTCTTTTTTTTGGGGGGGGATATAACTGTATTATATCAAGTACACTTGAAGAAATAAAAACATTTATGAGGTTTAAAATAGTTATAGAACAACCTTAGGTTTGAGAAATGAATGTGTTCAGCACTTCTATAGAAGAACAATATGAAATTATTATTATCAATTGCCCCTTAATCTACAATTATCTCTAAAATTTTTCTGCATGTGGATGACTGAACCTAGGTTTCCAAACAGAATAATACTTCCTCTATAAGCTTTTTTTTTTCCCCCAAGTCCACAATATACTGTGACTGATACTTTTCCAGATACATAAAGGTGTTTACATATCTTTAGAACAATTTTGATAAAGATTTATAAAAAAGAAAATGTTTTCAAATAAAAGTTTTTGGCCATAGCTTATTATTTGAAAAGAGAAATATCGTCTACTATTTTAAAATTTATTCTTCTTTCAAAATGTTGTGTGTAAACAAGCTGTGGATTGAAGAAAATTTTTGTACTTTTCAAAGAAAAATACTCCTATTCCATAATCTAAAATATTGCGAAATACATTGTATTAAAACTCTGAAGTGCAAAATAAGCAACATTATTAATCAGAAAGAAAAAAACTGGTAGTCATTACTTCTACATGGAAAGAAGACTACAAATGAATACCCAAAAGAGGTATGTACCATTTCTAATGTTACTAAAGCTACATTGTTGGTAACAAGAGAAAATTCACCAATGCAAAATCAATTGCAAAATATTTCAATATGCCTGTGGCAACAATGAATAAAATAATCAATCAATATTTATAACTTAAAGAATGTGATGTGATGTGATGTGATGTGTGTGATTATGGCAAAGCCTCGAAGGCTATCTGCCTAAGAGTAGGGATGCCTTCGTGGAGGACTTTCTAAGGGAAACTGGCTCGTATACACGTTACACATGGGGAAAACCACGAAAACGCCCATGCAGCCAGCCCGTTCGCGGGATTCGAACCTCGGACCGAACTACCAGTGTTCAGCGACTTTACCGCTCGGCCGCTGGTGGGCTCATAACTTAAAGAAAAAGCTAAGAAATACACTTCATCAACTTTTGCCAAAAGCATATGGATCAATGCAGAACAATTTGTAGAACCTTTTTTGAAAGTTATTTAGGAGATAAATTAAAACACACACACTGTGACCCTTGATGAAGCATGGATTTACCTGAATGATAGCACCAAAAAGTGATCTACTTATTACTGAAAAGGAAAAAGAAAAGGTACAAAACTGGTTCTATCAATGCAAGGCAAGTTTCAGTAAGGGGTTTATGATTGTTGTAGGATTCCCTTACAACAGGAAATAAAAAATAAGAAGAGGGAAAGAAAAATTGTTAAAATCAACTCAATTATTAAAAGAAATTAAGTGTTATTAATAGAAAGTTTTATGTCTGATATATACAAAAGAAATTCTATCCTAATGACTTTCAATGAGTGAAACTTCAACAAGACAAAGTCAAGCTCTGAAATGTACACTGCATTCCTTGAAAACATGAAGAATGATGTAGGTATTGCATATATATCTTTTTAACATACTCCTGTAAAGTCTTCTGATGTTTTATCTATAGAATATCATGCCTTTCTTCTGTTGAAAAGAGCTAAGCACAAACCCATCACAATTGATGGATCCTGGAAAGGAGTCAAAGAAAAAGGAAATCAATACCCCTGGAAATTTTTTAAAAAGCCTTCCTATCAAAGGAATCATGATGCAGATTTATAGTCCAGAAAAAAAGGGCTATCAGATAGAACATTTAAAAAAATGCTCTTTATGATTTAAATATTAATTAACCCCTTAACTGCCGTGGGCGTATATATACGCCTTGCTCAGCCGATGCATTAACTGCCCCAGGCGTATATATACGTCCTTCCAAACTGCTATCATTTGCTTTGCGCTGCTACACCT